ATGAAAAACATAAATAACATAAATTGCCTTTGTTGCCACATCTGTGTGGCTGTAAATACAGCCATCACAGGCTCCAAAAATTAGATATATTACAGAAATGTTATGTATATCTGACAGTTGTCTAGCAGAAATCTGCAATCTTATAGATACTTACTACTGTATTAACACAGCCTCCGAATTCAATTGAAGGAAAATGTTTGATTGTTGAAGCCAGTACAGCTATCTGCAATGAAATGTTGGTACTTTTCAAGCTTTCCTCTGCAGGAGCTTCAAAAAGATAATAAAGTATTTTTCCAGCAGAGCTTTGCTAACTGTTATGAAAAAATGAAAATAAGAGAAACCAGAGGGAACAACTCAGACGGGATGAGCTCAAGGTCCAAGGTACAATGCCAGTGCTCATAAAATATAAATTTCCTTTGACAACTCTGAAGGTAAAACATTTATTCCAACGTCTTTATTTTCGTTGTACCCGTAATCTTTTTTTTTTCTGCTAAAGGGGTGCCAACCACAGTATAAAATTTAACTTCCAATGATCTTTTTGGTAGTTATTATTTTAAACAGTAAAAGTAACAACCTTGAAAAACTGAGAATTTTTAAAGGTTTTTAATCACATAGACACCCAACAGGAAAAAAGAGACAATTACAAAAAAGTAACAATAGTCTTTTTAACTAGTTAATATGTATTGTGCAGCTAAATATACCACCTACTGCATCATTCTACTAAAATGTGACTAGTGTTTTCTTCAACATAGAAGCAAACTGTTCTAAGATCAATAGTTTAATGGGTTTTCATTTACTAACGTTATGTAGTTTTTCAGAATTTCTTTGATAAGTTAAGAAGGGGTATGGTTAAAGGATGCGTGTTTCTATTAACATGGACAAGTACAAACTGTTTCCAAATTCTGCCTTTTAAATTCAGCTAAACAAGAAAAGCAAAAACAAAAAACCTCATAAAGCATGGAGCTCCTGAAGAACCTAGTCATTCTTTTTTAACGTTGTCACCACAAGCATCTTTATGTTTTATATGAATTTTATAGGATGAATCCACAGAAAGGGAATTGCTATAAAAACTGATATCTCCACAGCATGACACTGCCACCTCCATGTTTCTTTAAGATAAAGTATGTTCAAGGTGATGTTATTTTGCTCAGTCAGTGTTTTCGGCTTTAAGAAGTTTTTACTTCTGATAAAATAACAGAAAAAAAACACCTGGATTTTTGTAAATAATTATTCCTCCATCTAAAGGTTAGGTTAGTGCACTAAAGACCAGTAACAATGTAAATATGTTGATGTATGGCTGAAATGCCTTGGAGAGGAATACAATTTGGCTATATGGTATATGGTTTGTGACTTAGAAAAAGCTTACCAAATAATAGATTTCAATCAAGATTCCTTGATTTTTCTTTTTACCTTGGCCTGATTTCCCCATACCTTACTGTATTTAGGGGTTCATTAAAAGTGATTAGTTGTTTGGATGTTCAGTTGTTTGACCGAAGACCTGTTTCTGCCCAAGTTTTTTTTTTTAATCACCACTGGCTGTCTCTTCTTCAGTCTTTACATTTATTAAAGAAAAGTTCACAATGTGCTAGACAGCTCAAACACCTTCTGCTATGCTTTTTCTTCACGGATTCTTTTCCTTATGCCCCTCTTCAATAAAGGTGAAATCTGTGGGATTCACAGTTAATAGCTACATGGTTGATGGATGGTACATTCCAACAAAAGGAATGATTTTTGCAGAACCTCCATTGTTATCTTGAGCTTTTTGGCCACTTCTCTGAGTAATACTCTGTTTGCTGGGTTCAAATGTGTAGGTAAAAGCGTCACAAGACTTCACAACAGCCGACGGCACAAACTTCAACTTCACAATAGGCCACACAAGTAAGTACTGATGTGATTTAATCAGCACAAAGGCTGTACTTGCCTTTCTTCAGACAACCTAAAACAATGGCAGATTAGAATTCCTCACCACAGTCACAGCTGTGTACAGGTTTATGTGTGTCTATGCATGCCTCTCTCTGCAGCATAGTCGTACTCTCCAGCTGCAGCTCATTAAGCATAATCAGGAGCGGAATGCTTCCCTGTGGCAGATACCAGATTGTTTTGCTGTAAAGTTCAGTAAGTAGACCTACCTTTCTTCTGGTTTTTAATCTACTGTCAGTTCAGACAGATTCGTACTGTCCCCTTCCTTTCCAAAGAAACATTTCTCATATTCACGCTCAGTTCTTAAAATCTATCCCACTTCCTGCTTCTTTTAAAGGCTGGAGAATTCCTCCCAGTACATCTGATCATCCGTTTGCTCTCCCAATACCGATTTCATGGATCTCTTCAATCAGTTACTGTTCGCTCACCTGCCTTTCCACCTTCCAACATTAAGTTGTTTAGACGTTTTGTTCTTCAGTACTAATCTGCCATTCACTTCTACCGATCAATTTCAGACTGTGCTGGTGTACCACCGCACTCTATTGCTTCCTTAAGCAGTTATTCATTTGTGACAATATTTCGACATTTCCTCATTTCAATCCCCAGAAATCAAATTTCTTGATTGATTCATTTAAATTTTACTGATCGCTTGGAGTGAAATTTGTCCCAACACAACAATAGAAACAGCAGGAAGGAATAAACCTAAATGACATGTAAATATCACTCAATGAAATAAGTAAAATATGGTTACAAAGTTCTGGAGGCTACATTAGGATAAAAAAGTCTGACACTCGTAGGCGGGAATAAGGAGTTATAGCACATATTAACAGATCAGGGCTGTAGTGATCTTTGACTATGATTGGGGCTCTCTACAGTATTATACAGTGGCTTAGAGGCATTGTTCATAATGTCACTGAATTTCACTATCGTTCCATTCCTCACCTTCGCAGTACGAACCTGAAATCCTGTCATAAACTCAAGTGGACTCTTCATTTGTGTCAAGAAAATTTAAAATCTTTTAGTTTTTGTCATAATTACTGCAACTGTAGCTCAGCAATAGTATTTTATCTTAACGTAGGACATTTTTTAATTTAATATTATAGACTTATTTATCCTACGTTTCTGGATGAGCCTGAAGTTTTGCTGTAGTTAAAATCACTATTTGCATCCTATAAAATTCAGTATGTAGTTATTATATAGTGTTATTATGTAGCTTTTGTTGGCTAATAATCACTAACCCAGGGATAATTTTTTAAAGGGCTAAGATTCAAATAAAATCCTTCTTTGTTCAAATTTTCCCTGGAGAATCATGCATCTGCAGTGTGAGATGCTAAAAACCCCAACACAAAAAACATACTTAAGCAATTTGTTCTGTCATCTTAGCTCTAAGTTTCCAACCGATACTGTCATTCAGAAAGTAAGTCATTTATTTAATTGCCCATTGTTTGAATTTTGTAGCTTTAAAACTATTAATCACAATTCTTAGAAATAAAACACTTAAATTACTTAATCATTTTACAGGACTGTCACTGCACTCTGGTGGTTTCCTGGTGTCTAAAGTAAATAGTTCTGAATCCTGGTTGGGACGTTTATGTGTTGAGTTTTCATGTTCTCACTGTTATATCTAATTGGTCAGTCTAAATTGCCCTTAGGTGTGAGTGGCATCATATCTAACCGTGTGTTTCATTGCCTTTGTTGAACCTATATTGAATCTGTAAATAAATGCCAGAAAGTTTTAAACATTAACTAAGGATTATTAGTGGAGTACTTTTGTGTGATATGATGCTAATTTTTATCATTAAAGTGCTACATGATTTAAGAATTTGGGGGGTTTTATGAAATGGTTTCTAATAGATTTAAAGTTAACATACTAACACAAACCTGTAAATTAGAGGAGTTCATGAGCTCTACTTAAAAAAATACCAATCTATAAAATTTGGAAATATCAACTGGGATAGATGTAAAAGAATCCTTATAAATTACACCTAATCCACCCAGGGACAGAGCTACAGTACAGGGAGGTGACGTGTTGGAATTGCTTGTTCCAACTCTAGAAGAAGCAGTTCATTTCTAAATCAGAGGGTGGCAGCAATGATGACATCAAGTAGAAGTTAATATATTTACCAAAACTGACTGCAGAAATTTTGCAATTGGGCATTCCCAACAAAATACACAATTAAATTGAACTAATATAGAATCCATGCTTTTTTGTTAATGTGTTTTTATGTTTAATGGGGGAGAGTTTGTCCCTGAATTCCTCTAGGAATATTGTAATTAAAGATAAAGATCAACTGCTTAAACCATTCAATGTCTATATTATGAAGAACCATACATTAATTTAAACTTCACTGGTGTTTAAACATGTGTTTAGCTTTATTAGCTAGGGCCTTCTGAAAATATGATCCATCTTCAGTGATTTATTTGGAAATATAGATGTTGATTTTCTGGATTTCAGCCTATTTATTAGAAAGGGTAGACCAAAACATGTATCACACTCAAGCAAGCAGAATTGTAAAAATAAGAGACTTGCATGTATGGGATGGGAAAGGTTGCTATGAACAACAAAGCATCTTTTTTTATTTATTAGAAGATAAATAAGATCGCACTGGGAGACCAAATTTAGTAAATTCATAAATACAGCTTTATTACAATTTGAATCCCAACAACATCATAAATTCAATCATTGACATGTTTTTACTGTGACATACAAAAGAAATATGTTTTTTTTCTGTTTGATACATTTTATTTCTTTATATATTAGGAAGGAGAGTGATCAAAACTGCAGTAAACGGTTTTTCTCTATTCTGTAACAAGGATTACTTTATGTTGCAATTTACATCTATAATACAAAATACATATAAAAAAAATACAGAGAATATAAAAAAATTCTTATCAACATTTGTGTACAAATCTTTAAACGGCTCCAAATTTATCCATTCAATTAACATATTTTAATATGTTGAGTAGCAGATTTTTTGATGAGTTGCATTTTTTCCTTAATCACAAAACAATGTGGGAAAGAAGCCCAACAATAGCCAACATGGCAAACAGCTGAAACACAAGTATTTCAGTGACATGATAAAAAAAGATCATGATGACGATATTATAGAAAGTTATGACTTAAAGCCTTCCTGCACTGAATTTCTTCTTTTTTTCTTGCTTAGATGTCCACCACACAGCCTGGAGCACTGGCTGTTATTGCATCAGATATCACCTTTGCTCCTGATTCTCCAATACCATTTCCCTGCAAACTGGAGAAAAAAATCAAATTTATGTTTTCTGATCATAATAATATCTGAAAATATATACTGTTATTCAGAAGGGAAAACTAACTTGATATATGCAAGTTGGTGGTTTCCTTTTAAAGCCGTAGCTATGAATATGGCCCCATCCATACCCAAAGAGTTCTCCTGGAGACTGAAAAGACAGAGTCAGTCAGAGTCCAAATTATTTAGAAGCAAAGCTTGAATGACTATTTAATAAGGTTATACAGGCAAGAGTAAGTTCCCTGCTGCTGAATGTGAGATTACTGCATATTTTTAATCTGAGCAAGACCAATAGTAGAGACGGTAAATTTCACAAAGTCTAAACAATCTACGGAAGCCTCTATTCTTAAGCATATAATATTAATGAGAAATCATTTTTTTACACGTCTTAATCAACAGCACCAAAAATCTTGAAAATCTTGATTTCGAAAATATCTTTTAGGTCTGTGAAAGAACATTAGTAAAGTGTCCGCAAGAAATAGTTTAGTCCAAATAATTTCTTACAAAAACACAAAACATTTGAACAAATTACCAACATAACACCATAAAATCACCAATAAATGAAATAAAACAGCAGAAAAAGCCATTTTCTTTTTTAGCAGGAAAAAAAGTCAGAAACTTATTAGTTTTGAAACAATTAACAAAATGATAAACAGCATTTGGCACTTACTTTAAAGATTTAAGGCTTCTGTTGCATTTCAGAGAATTGGCCAAAGCTTTAGCTCCTTCCATTCCCACAGCATTCCCTCGCAGACTGAAAAAACAAACAGCACAAAATATGCAAAAGGGACAGAATGCGTCACTAAAGACAGCCGTATTAGCAGTAAGATATACCAGTCAACTTGTTAATATGTCATGTTAATCTGTTATAATCGTAACTTCCTAACCAGCTGGGTCAGAAGTACACTACAAACCACAAAATTATTTAAACAGCTTATCTTTAAAAAACATATTTCGATTACATTCTTAAAATAGTTTCTATCCTGATATGCATTTTAAAAAATTACTTTAAAAAGTGAACTCTTACACCAAATCCATTCTTGACTTTCCTCTGTTGTATATCAGGACCAGACAAGCTATTGGTAGCATGCTATCAAGGTTCAACCTCTTCTCATTATGAGTGCGTATGAAATCGTACGAAAAGTTATGCACCGTAATTTCGTATGTTTTGGACGTTTTTTTCACGAATATAGAATATAAATTACAAGTAGCCCTAACCCTGACCCTAACCCTAACCCTAAGATATAAAACAGCAAGCAACGTAGTTAGAGACATGAATAAGTGCTGATTGCACTGTTTTTCCCAGTTTTACGTCCGTCCGCGGATCTGCTTTTTTTTTTCTGTCTGCCAGCGCATGCGCACTGATGTGGTTTTTTGAGGAAAAACGTCCAAAACGTACGAAATAGTGTGCATAACTTTTCGTACGATTTCATACGCACTGATAATGAGAATATGTTGCAAGGTTATGGAGTTTTTTTTGTTTTTTTAAAAGGAGACATTTTCCATCCCACAGATGCCACAAGCAGAAACTACATTTGTTGTTCCTGCACACTGCCATTCAGCTGGCTCAAATGGGCCTCCTAGATGTCTGTCCATATTCTCAATTATCCAAGTTAGATTAAGATAATATGAGCTGTCATGACTTGCATAGTTCAGCTGGCTTCATCAAACAGAGCCAGCCGAAGCTTGCAATTTTTTTAGGCTTCTGTTCTAAAGAACGTTGACGTCCATGGTACTAAAAACTAATAACAGAAAGGCTATGTATAGCACTACCAATGAAGTTTCTATGTCGGCCATCACAGGAAGTTCTAAATCGGACAATGTTGGCAGGCTTTTGAAGGTGTCGAAGTTAAGATAAAGATCCAAGTGAACAACTGTTTTAGTACTAAACCCAGTTCTACAGCAACATGATGGTATGATGTATTTTCACCTGCTATGAATAAAATTATTACAGAAGGGAAGCTAAAAAAAACTTTATAAGTGCAAACGTTATCTCTCTTATAGCCCTTTAAGTAGAATTTGAATAGAATAAAATTGCTATCAATTTAATTTAATTTATTTATATAGTGCCAATTCACAACACATGTCAAGGTATTTCACAGAGACAACACAGCTTACTAGACATGCTCCTACTAGTTTGCAGTGACAATTTTTGCTTGAATATCTACAGGGCTGCAATAATTTTTTTGCTAATTGATAAAGCAGCTAACAGCTTCTCAATTAACAGATTCATATTCAGACAACAAAGAATTTGCAGAAAGTGAAGCTGAATTTATGTAGGCGTTTTGTCTTAAATACTAATAATATATATTTTAGGCAATTTTTAAATTAATAAACTTTTCTGAGTAGATTGTTCTTCCAGCAAATGGCTTTTTTAGTGTCTGCATTCTCCAATTTACAGTTTGAGTTGATTACTAAACTAGTTTATGATTATTTGAGTCGTCAATTAATCCCAATTAATTCATTCTTTCATCCATAGTCTCAATAATGTCATGCAAAGTATGCAATTTATTGTAAATACACTTGCCTAATTTACATTAAAACATGTTTTATGATAGAAAATGAACTAAGATCAGTCAGGTAGAGTGAATTAATGAGCGGCAGAAAATGAAATATCACAAAACTGAATGAATTACAGTCTGCGTTGAGATCATATCTGAAAAAAATGACTGTAATTAAAATAATCACCCTGTCATCAAGTTTGACATTTGTGAAAAACTGGTGAACTTAGTAGAATGATTTAGAGGGGCATGGGAATAATTCATAATTGATAATCAGAATATCATCCACATGGAAATTGAATTATATTCATAAAGTTTCAATTTTCAACCAGAATGTTATCTATCTTATCATAAGTGTAACTTTCATTGCATGGCAGCAGAACAAGAAATAAGAATGTTTTCCAATGTAATCTTATAATAAAGAAAATAAATGAGAACAAGTTTGTCTGCTGATCAAAGCCTCATTAAAGGCTAATAAAGAACTATTTATCTGCTAATGGCAGCACCAGACATGAAATAAGAAAAATGTAAGAAACAGACACAGGAGGAAAGCTTAGACTCACTCTAAGGTCTGCAGAGTCTGATTGGACATTAGAGCTTCTGCCATTGCGACAGCACCGCTCGTCCCTGCTGACACCCCCTGGAGACTGAAGCAAACAACATCGCAGTCACAGAATAAATGTAACTCTTTATCTAACATGCCAAGTCTTTCAGTTTTCATTTACATCCATATGTGGGTTCTTAAGGGACTGAACCATTTTAAGTTACACTAACCATAAAGTTTGCAGAGATGTGTTGACCTTAAGAGCCTCAGCAAGGTAAATCACTCCCTCGTTTCCAATAGTGTTTTCTTGTAGACTGCATAAAAAGATGGGAAATACAAACACAAGAGACGGTCTGAAGTTAGAAATTTCCCAGCACCACCAGTAGCATTTCATAGAGCTGCTCAGAAAGACATAAAGCAATGATCGACCTAAAAAAAGGCTTTCTGTTTACCCTCATATTTAAGGTACTGATTGAAAGTTGGTAGTAAATTAATACAATACTATGATGGATAGAAGTGAGTGGTGATGCAGGATTTTTTTGTGCAACTGGTCTTACTCTAGGAGTTGAATGGTGGTGTTGGAGAGGAGGGCCTGGGCCAGAGCCTTAGTGGCTGTTGATTTTATGAAATTCCACTGGAGGCTGTAGAAAGAGGAAAAATAGAAAAATCATTTGACGATGTCAGCATTTCAAAGTACAGGTGTTGGATTTTGCAACATTTTAGTATCTAATTTCCTTCAGCACCTTACCTTTGAAAAAATACCATCATACTGTAAAGAAAAACATTTTATACAATCGATATATACAATCGTTGATCCAAATGTTTAGTTATCCTTCGAAGGACATGGTTATCATGTTTGCCTTGCACTGAAAATCTGTTGCCAGATCTAAACTATCATGCTGTGCAATCAAGACTGATCATGTCATGCTGATCTTACTTCTAGGGCCTTGCAAAAGTATATACGCCCATTGAACATCTCTGATTTTAGCAACATTAAAACAAGTTAAAGGAGTAGCACATGATTATGAAGTGAATGAAAAAATGAGTTTATTTTCAAAAAATTTACAGAAATATGAAAAGTGTTTCCCTCTTTCAAAAGACACGGTGGTGAAAAAGTCATGGAATGGGGATGGTTTTCTTCAGAACTAATTTAAAGATGGAGGTACAGTAGCTATTTAATCTGGGATAATCTTGAATAAAAACATGTTGGAGGCAGCAAAATACTAGAGTCAGAGGTGTAATTTTACCTTCCAAAAATACCGCCAAAGATGAATCAGATGTTATCAGTCATAGCGTATGCCAGTATTAGAATGGCCTAGTCAAACCAGAGAACTAAATCCAACTGATTTTGTAATAAAAGTTCAGGGTTGCTGTCCAGAAATGCTACACATATATCTAACAACAGTTAGGCTGCTTTTGAAGAAGAAAGGCAAGAATTAAGCCTTCAGATCGAGATACCTAAAAACATGAAGTTGTAACTGCACTGTCAGATTCTGCAAGGTTCAAGAAAACTAAATTCATGAGCAAACCAAACTTTTTAATTTTCTAAAAATGAGGTTTGAAATCATTAATGATTGTGCACCTCAAAATTAAATAGTCTACATTAGCCTGTAACATGAGATCACATTGAAATGCAAAGAAGCTTTAATGTGGGTGCATACTTTTGCAAGAAGAAAGGGATATTGCATTTATGCAGTAGCCCAACAAAGCTTTTTTTATTTTTGTTCGTCCGGTTCAATTTGCATGTTGTCTAAGCCAAAATAAGCTTCCTGAATGAGAAGCAAAACGTCTTCAAAATTGGAAACAAAGTCCAGTGGATTGTTTTGAACTTTTCTGGAACGACTATGACCTGGATGCCTGAGAATCTTCAACTGCACGTTATTTTAAAGAGTATCTAGACAGATTGGTAATATAAAATATAAAGAGCTATTACAAGCAGAAAGAAGATTTTTTAGCTGCTTGTTTAATAAACTCAACTTACTGCAGAGATGTAAGTCCTTGATTAAACTTGATTGCTCCTGCAATTGCTTGAACCCCGTCGTCATGTAGAAGGTTTGCTGTGAGACTAGGATGCAGAAACACAGAGTCAGAACTGATACAGCAAAAAAAGAGGCTCCCTGATAGTTTAGGTGTTACAGTGCAGTGATTAATTAGAGGGTTTTATACTATTTGTCATTGTTAATAGTCATTTATATTGCTCTGCATTGCTAACTTCATCTTAATTATATAGACGTGATAATTATCAGGGGCTGTCAGCGATTTATAGCAATTTCTCAAATATATCCACCTTATTTAAAACAGTACAATCTGTGATTATTATTAAGGTACTTACTCGAGGTTTTGCAAAGAGTTGTTCTCTTTCAGGGCATGGGCCATGTTCTTGGCTCCCTCCACTCCAATTGAGTTCTCCCTTAAACTTCATGTGTATACAGGAAAAGAATAGGAAAGTTTTCTGGTCATGTTTGCCTGATGGTCTCATTGTAGCGTCTAGATAATGAAAAATAAATCCTGCACTCACTTCAAAGAGACAAGACCCCGGTTGAGTCTAAGAGCTTTGGTCAGCGCTGTCATTCCCTTATTGCTGATGGAGTTACTCTGAAGTCTGTTGAGCGAATAAAAAGGTTAATAAAAATATAATAAGGGAAGCTTTAATTAATGAAAACACAGAGGGTAATTTTAGTAAAAAGGTCACAGAGAATAAAAGCTATTGTTAAGAGGATACTTACTGAAGTGACAGCAAAGTGTGGTTGAATGTCAAAGCTTCAGCCAGTGCAACTGTTCCTTTGTCCCCAAGGTGGTTACTGCAAAGTCTGCACAGTAGAGGAGAAAAATGAATCTTTTTTTTTGTAGTTTAAAAGAAAATCACTTCATGTTTGCCAGAGTGGAATTGCAGCACGGCATCTATTTTTACTGCATTCAACCTTGATAGTTCCTGCACATTCAAAGCTCACAAATCAATCCCCAAAATGTTACAGTGGTCATAGTTTTCCAAGCATTGCATTAAAAGATGAACAGGCCTTTGTTGGTCTGCCGTACAAATAGAAGAAAGACTGTACATGTAAGGAATACAGATTTAAAGGTTTCTTTTATCTACTTTTTTGGCTCTTCTCTGTTTTTTCTACAAACTTTAAAAAAAAAAACTGCAGGGAAAGAGAAAGACTTTTGCCTAATGATGCTGATGCTGGTCTATAATTTAACTATTTATCAGTGACATGCTTCTGAAGGAGCCTAAATATGGATTTATTAAAAACTCTCAGAAAATCTTAGGTCAACATTTGATTCGTTGCTAAATAAACACATTTATGGTTACAATCTGCTTCCTTAACATTCACCAGATTTTAATACAAAAATATATGTTGTTGCTAAACAAATTATATAACAAAAGGACACCAAACTACTGCAGTGTTTTCCTTTAGTTACACCAGAAACAAGTGTGGAAATCATATAAAAATTGTGTTTTATGTAAAACCATCTGTCAGAAGTTCTTCATTAAAGTTACACCCAGTTTTTTTAAAGGTGTGGATAATGATTATTGTGGATACCTAAGATTAAGTTCATCTGGGTTTTATCAAATCCTTACACATTAAAATCATACGTAGAGATCGGAAAACATTTTATCCAGTTCCCCCTAGTAAGAGAACACAGTTTTTTATGCCCTCTGTGGTTCTTGGAATAATTCTAATAAAATCTTTGAGTTTGGACATAATTAAAATTTTTTCTATATCAATCCTATAATCTTTATATTAGCATGTTTTATGCTTTTAAAAAGTTGAAAGAGTATCTAAATCTCAAATTTGGTCCTCTTCTATTCTCACATATATGCGTTACACTGTTAGCAAGATAAACCCTTTAGCAAGATAGTTCCACCACCATGCATGATAGTTAATACATTGTTATTAGGTCAAAAAGCTTAACTCTCATTACTCCAAATATTCTCGTCCGTCAGATAATAATGATAATATGTAATAGTCTGAGAATACTTTGTTGTTTATGTTTTCTTTTTAAAGTATATCATCAAGAGATATTAGTTTGATTAATAATAGGTTAAATATTGATTATATAAATAACTAGTGCAAACTAATGACTTAATTTCAATAACAGGGATAAGATTTTTATACTAAAAATAAATATTTGTAATATCTTCCTCTCCATTCTTTTAAATAATATACTGTATGCAGTTAAGGCTCACTGAATAGATCAAACAGATTCTCTTTAGGTTTTGATACATTTAATATTAATTGGAAGTATTTTATTAATGTGACTGATATTGATTTTATATCATGAATGTATTGAAGGGACCCCTTTGATATAGAAAAGAATAAAAAATCCTCCTGTACACATTCATGCTATTCACACCCGACCCCCCCCCTACCACCACCCCCACCCCCCATCCCCATATCTCTGATCTGATTCACATCTCTAGTCCTGCCCACGCCCTCAGCTCCGCCTGTTAAATTTACCATACTCTTCCTTCTACCTGTCTCAGCACCATGGACAGTGAAGCTTTGAATGGTAGTTTTACATAAAATGTGTTATTATTCTGTATTTAAAAATACTCTTCTAAGAAATCAATAAATTTCATTGTTGAAATGATGAATGAAAATATTTCAACTGCTTACATCAACTTTGTAAGAGTTCGGTTTGTCTTCAGCGCCTCTGCGATCTTCTTTGCTCCACCTGCTCCGACTGTATTCTTCCGCATGCTGAAAGAAAATATGTTGCATATATCACATAATAACTCTAAAACCTCATCCCCTCTAAGAACTCTGACATTGGGTAAACTCAGAGGGTACTTTAAACAAAAAAAAAACTTACTTTAGCGACACTAGTTTGCGGTTACACTGCAGGACTTCTGCAATGGCCTGAGCTCCTTCTTCCTCAATGGAGTTGTTCTGGAAGCTGAGAATGGGTGATAATGTAGTTAATACGTGGGGTGTCTCATGTTTATTTTGTTGTATTTATAATGTAAAATGTGAAAACCAACAAATGTTATGCAATTCATACTCACTTGATTGATACCAAGGCTTGGTTCATTTTCAGAGCCTCTCCCAGAAACTTTGCTCCCTTTGATCCAATGTTGTTGTTCTTTAAGCTAAATTTATAATAAGAGGATAAACTGCATATTTATGTTTCCACTTCTGGTTAATATGGCAACAAAACATATGAATAAATTTTAATTTTGATGACCAAGAAATTGCTGTCTTTGATGGCATTTGGCATTTGTATTTTCAGTTTCCAGCTTTAAATTCAATTGTTTGTCTGACTGTAAAACAAAAAACAATTTTTTTGCAGGTAGCTTTTTTCTTGTAATATTTTCTTCACCTGTGAAGAAGATCTTTTTAACTACCTAATGAACTAGCATGTTCTCTTGTCTTCTCTATTTTAAAAGGTTACTATTTTCCACTTGACTTCATTTAGGGGTTTCAGAATTAGGGGGCCTAAATACAAATTCAATTTGTGTTTATCCAGTGTTTTTAAGTATAAAAATATAAAACCTTTTATCCTTCTTCAACTTGCAAATATGTGCTACATATTATTCATGCCATCAAGAAATTGAGCCACAAAATGGTGCCAGAACTGACTCATGATCCAGCCTATTGTTTGATTATACAAATATTTCAACAAAATCAATTATTACAGACAGCATCAACAACCAAAGTAGTTGTTTTTTTTATCATTTTAGGTGATTCTTTTATACCTTTAAGCACTCTTAAATAAGTGTTTAATGTTTGGTTTAATTTGGATAAATATTGGATCTCAAGACCCGAAACTGTTTGATCGAGTACTCCAGGTGGGGAATCAGGATCTTAGTGCAACATTGCATAACTTTTGATCCAATTATTAGCTTTATTTGAGATACATTAAATAACCCAGAGTGTCATACTACAGCAGTCTGACATCCAAGAGAGCTAACTACAAAACAGATATGAGTTTTACCTGGTCTGATATAGTTTTAGTTCTATGATAAAGAATGTAATCTAGTAGGTTAAAGGTAGCCTAATCCTGACATGTTGGTGTCTTTCTAATCTGCTGGTCAAAAGTGGTTTGGTATCAGATTCCAAAACATCACAGGAGACTGTTTAGTTTCAGAGTGCAGTGTAACCAGTTGCTTTCAGGGTGCTTAACCTGAAAGTTAAAGGCATTGCAGTACTAAAAAGGAAAACAGCGTTGCTTTAAATAACAGTTAAACAATCACAGGCGAGAGTTGTATATTAATTACAGCAAAGAATGAAATATCTCACTTGATTGATGTTAGTGTTCGATTCACCAAGAGGGCCCGACTCAGGGCTTTGGCTCCTTTGTTGCTGATTAGGTTGTCTGCCAAACTGAAGGGAGGAAAAGAATAAGTCTCATTAATATTACAATCACACAAGTGTTTCCTGCAGCATTATAACAAGTGACAATCCATTATTCTTAGAACATTGTTTCATTATCTAAACAATTAAATAATATAAAAGCAATGTGATTCTTTCATCTAAAAATACAGGTGCTGGTCATAAAATTAGAATATCATGAAAAAGTAGATTGATTTCAGTAATTCCATTTAAAAAGTGAAACTTGTATATTATATTCATACATTACATACAAACTCATATATTTCAGATGTTTATTTTGTTTAATTTTGATGATTACAAATGACAACAAATGAAAATCTCAAATTCATCATATCAGAAAATTAGAATATTACTGAAGACCAATAAAAACAAAGGATTTATAGAAATGTTGGCCAACTGAAAAGTATGAACATGAAAAGCATGAGCATGTACAGCACTCAGTATTTAGTTGGGCCTCCTTTGGCCTGTATTACTGCAGCAATGCGGCGTGGCATGGAGTCGATCAGTCTGTGGCACTGCTCAGGTGTTATGATAGCCCAGGTTGCTCTAATAGTGGCTTTTAGCTCTTCTGAATTGTTGGGTCTGGTGTATTGCATCTTCTTCTTCACAATACCCCATAGATTTTCTATGGGGTTAAGGTCAGGAGAGTTTGCTGGCCAATTAAGAACAGGGATACCATGGTCCTTCAACCAGGTACTGGTAGCTTTGGCACTGTGTGCAGGTGCCAAGTCCTGTTGGAAAATGAAATCTGCATCTCCAAAAAGTTGGTCAGCTGCAGAAAGCATGAAGTGCTCTAAAACTTCCTGGTATGTGGCTGCGTTGACCCTGGACCTCAGAAAACACAATGGACCAACACCAGCAGATGACATGGCATCCCAAACCATCACTGACTGTGGAAACTTTACACTGGACTTCAAGCAACGTGGATGAAGTGCCTCTCTTCTTTTCCTCCAGACTCTGGGACCTTGATTTCCAAAGGAAATGCAAAATTTACTTTCATCAGAGAACATGACTTTGGACCACTCACCAGCAGTCCAGTCCTGTTTCTCTTTAGCCCAGGCAAGACGCTTCTGACGCTGTCTGTGGTTCAAGAGTGGCTTGACACAAGGAATGCGACAGCAGAAACCCATGTCTTTCATACGTCTGTGTGTGGTGGTTCTTGAAGCACTCACTCCAGCTGCAGTCCACTCTTTGTGAATCTCCCCCACATTTTTGAATGGGTTTTGTTTCACAATCCTCTCCAGGGTGCGGTTATCTCTCTTGCTTGTACACTTTTTTCGACCACATCTTTTCCTTCCCTTCGCCTCTCTATTAATGTGCTTGGACACTGAGCTCTGTGAACAGCCAGCCTCTTTAGCGATGACCTTTTGTGTCTTGCCCTCCTTGTGCAAGGTGTCGATGGTCTTCTTTTGGACAACTGTCAAGTCAGCAGTCTTCCCCATGATTGTGTAGCCTATAGAACTAGACTGAAAGATCATTTAAAGGCTTTTGCAGGTGGTTTGAGTTAATTAGCTGATTAGAGTGTGGCACCAGGGGCCATCAATTTTGAACCTTTTCACAATATTCTAATTTTCTGATATGATGAATTTGAGATTTTCATTTGTTGTCATTTGTAATCATCAAAATTAAACAAAATAAACATCTGAAATATATGAGTTTGTATGTAATGTATGAATATAATATACAAGTTTCACTTTTTAAATGGAATTACTGAAATCAATCTACTTTTTCATGATATTCTAATTTTATGACCAGCACCTGTACACCATTTAAATTTCCAACCTTAATTTCTGGATGTGGCAGTCTTTGGCACTTAGAAGGCTTCCAAGCAGTTCCATGACATCATCTTTAAAGTTATTATTCTCTAGCCTGTTCAACAGAAAACATACAGCTTTAAAGCTCTATGCTCTGAGCTTTAGCAATCTGAAAGACAGTGTCTCAAAAAGCTAACCTTAGATGGGTGCAGTACAGCAGCTGTGGGAGTAAGCTTTTCACCGTTGAGTAGTTCAAACAGCCGGTGAGGTTGGTTTTTTCACAGCATTCTGGAGAAACATGCAGCAGGTAGCCCAGCACCACACAATGTGGCCGTGTCAGTTTTCCAGCCAGGGTTCCCTGCCGTAGGTCCTCCTCTACACTCCGGAGAAGCTCACTGTGTTGCAGCTCCTGTAAACAGTACGCCAAGTTGACTGCACGGAGGGACACCACCGAACCCACGCTGGACAGCAGGCCTTGTAAAAAACCTGCAGCCCAATTCTTCTGACTTCCATCATCTTTCCCGAGAGCCAAGAGCCCAGATAGAGGTTTTATCGTTGTTGGACAGAGCAAGCCCGTCAGGAAGCGCACAAACAGATCCAAATGACCGTCTTCGGCTTGCTGGGAGTGTTGGAAGGAACTCCTGAAGTGGTTTTGGAATCCAATTTTGGGCCAGGACATGGTGCTCTCTGAGAACAGGTCAAATATGGCACGCTTGGAAGAAACATGATAAAAAGTAGCGGCAAGAAACTCCTGTAAAGTCAAATGGGTAAACCTATAGGTTGTGTGTATGGTGGACTCGCTTCGAATAAGAACTCCAGCACCAAGACTGCATTGAGTTAATAGCAAATCTATCCCATAGGCTCTAAGGTCCTGCTCACTAAACGTGTATTTGTGCTTCAGGAGGCTATAGAACGCCAGGCGTCCAAGGTTGCCTAGCAGTTTACGATTGGTTGCATGAAGCTGCTCAGATTTGACCGGCTCTCTGCCTCTTGGTTCACCTACTTCTGCTTTCATACAGCAAAAATGGGCATACAGTTCAGTGCAGGTCTTAGGCAAGCTTTCCTGTGTCCCGCTCTGCATAATGTACAGCAAAGTCTCTGCTAGCATCCAACAGATGCATGGTATGTAGCACATCACCATCAGTATCTTATTGGATTCCAAATGTGCCCATATTTTGCTTGCAAAATCCTTTTCAGAGAAGTGGTGGTTCAGAAATGTTTGGATGTCCGTTGGGCTGAATCCTGGGATCTCTGTAACTCGGTCAACAAGTCCCCCAGGGATCAGAGAGGCCACTCCTGGTCTCGAAGTGACCCAAACTGCTACGTCTGGTAGCAGATTTCCTCGGATGATATTCGTGACAAGGTCGTCAATAGAAATGTCCTTCTTTGGGTCGTTGCAAGGAGCTGCATCAGAGAAATTTAAAGTGCTGCGAAACTCATCCAAACCATCGAGGATGAGCAGTGTCCTGCAGGCATTGCTCAGGATCAAATTGGGGGATGGTAAATGAGGGAAAAACATTTTTAAAAGCCTCTCTGCAGACAGTTTTTCAAGGGAGTTGAGTTCGCACAGCGTGAAAGGCAAAACAAAGTGTATATCTGGGCAGATGTTCCCTTGGCACCATTGTCTGATGAAGTGTCGAACCCATGTTGTCTTGCCAATACCAGCCACCCCAACGGTAAGAGTTACTCTGGGAGGCAAACTGACTCGTGTAAGAGGTTCAAATAGTTTGGCAAGTCCCAGCTGTCTCAGATGGTTTCTTTTCCCTCCTCGAGTCACTCCCACCTGCATCAGATCATGTTCCTTTTGTTGGAAGTCAGAAAGTCCGTCAACCAACAGCAAAGTTCTCGAGGAGATGTTCAGTTTTGGGCAGCTGCCTGAATCTTTGTCTCTGTGTTTGTCATATTGGTGTAACAGAACCTCTTTGTGCTTCTTCACCATGACATCTATGGAAAAAAACAACAACATTCTGATCAGTGATTTGGGTAAATGCTTTATTTAAAGACTTACATTTTTTTTTAGTTTTTATGGCACTAATAGATCATTTTTATGAACAGTAGGCTGACAGGAAAGGGGGTATGAGAGAGGGGGCGAGACATGTGGCAAAGGACCACAGGCCGGATTCGATCCTGGGTCGCCCATGTCGAGGACAAACGCCTCCAAACATGGGTCATTTGCGCTTAGCACTGCGCCATCAAAGCACGCCCAAAGACTTAAATTATAAAGTCTTTGAATTTTTTTCTCCACGTTGAGAGGAGCCAGTTGAGGTGGCTCGGGCATCTGGTTAGGATGCCTCCTGGACGCCTCCCTGGTGAGGTGTTCCGGGCACGTCCCACCGGGAGGAGGCCCCGGGGAAGACCCAGGACACGCTGGAGAGACTATGTTTCTCGGCTGGCCTGAGGAGCTAGAAGAAATGGCTGGGGAGAGGGAAGTCTGGGCCTCCCTTCTTAGGCTGCTGCCCCCGCAACCCGACCCCGGATAAGCGGAGGAAGATGGATGGGTGGATAGATGGATGAAATTTTTAATGTTCAAAAATAATTTAAAGGTCCTATATTAATATCGTTAATAATTTTACTTTATTGATCTCACACTGGAGAAATTCACCTCTGTATTTAACCCATCCCTTTGGGGAGCAGTGGGCTGCCATTGTGCGGCACCCAGGGAGCAGTGTGGGGTTAAGGGTCTTGCTCAGGGACCCAGAGTTCAGGCTGTGGGGATCAAACCAGGTACTTGCAACCTTCTTAGAGCACAAGTGCACTGCTCTAACCACTAGGCCATCACCTCCCACTATCATGCTAGATTGAAAGTAAAAAATTGAAGCACTGAGGCCCCCGGAGCACTGCTTTTTTTTGTGCAGTAAATTTCCTCCCAGATTAGACAGAAGGCCTTTACCAAAAAAATTCAGTCCTTTTCTAAACAAGCAGTTTTGGCTTTCCACTCCCCATCCTCCTGAAGGCTGCACCCCCACAACCCATAAACATGCCAACCAGTCAGAGTTCATAAAGATAGTCTAGGAGCTTGGCCGATTGCCTTCTACAGACCGCTCTGGGCAGCTAATTTCCCCTTATGACACCATAAAGGGGAATGCTTTTCAAACAGACCATTTTCAGCTCACAGTAGCTTAGGATTTGAAAAAGGCAATGATAGAGGTGAAAGGGTTTATTTCATTCGTCTATCTCATACCTACCTCAGGACACATATGCCTGTTACCAAATGATTATAATGTGAATCTAGCAAAATATGGGACCATTAATATCTATAGTATTTGCATTTTAGAAAGCATATTCCTCCTCAGGATTCTTACCATAGTTTAAGATGAGCTGGGCAACCTCTGAATCTGAACTCTCTATGAATGCCTGCAGGGCATCTGAGCTTTGGCTTTCCTTGCTGGTGATGATAGTGGTGAGCATATTAATCTGTTCTTGTAGCGCTCCTGCTTCCTTGATGCCAGTCTCTTCAGCAGAGGTTAGGACATCCATACTTCTAAGGTGTCTCACTATTTCCTCCAGGAAGGAGTGTGAAACAAAGTTCTGCAGTCCATCTTTATGCTTTTGGATCCATTGTACATCTAAAGCAAAACAGAGGAAAAAAACATTTGAATTTACTTTAAAATTGGTCAAAATGAATGCATTTAGACTTTACATTCAATTTTTAGTTAATTTTCTTTCACCTTATAGTTAGTGTTGTAAAAACATCAAATAGAATAGTTGTAACCTGACTATTGGAGAGATTGGGAGTAAAAGCAGCTTTGCTAGGCAGTGAAGATCAAAGAAAAGCTCTTTATTTTTTTCTAGCTGGAGATCAGCACAAAATCAATAGAACAGAAGAACCAGAAGAACATTTTAAACACACCAATGTTAATGTGACAACACAGGTTGAAAAGCACAGCTCCCTTCTAAATCTGTCTGAGAGAGCACATGGTAGCAATTAGGTCAAATCCTGCTGTGCCTTCAAACAGCTTCACAGGTGTACTGACACATTATTTTGATTTTTCCCTTGAGTTTGTTCAGTTTGCATTGTAAAAGCTTTAAAAAGATGCATCGTAGGTACATACTCTTTCAAAGGTCAGCTCAGTGGAGTGGATAATATGCATGCTACAGCAGTTATTGTGGAGAAAAGTAATTGGCGGTCTTGTGGACAACAACTGTATTTATTTGCCACTTTTGCTAGTATTTAAAATGATTTCCAGTGCCTCAATTCAAATCTTCCTGCCTGTAAAATATTAGCAGGTAAAATTATAGGTCTGATAAAATATAGTTGAAAATATGCTGAAAAAGTAAACAAGGTTTTATAGTGAAATGGACATTACTGATTACTGATTATAGCAGTTATCACAGCATATATATGAAGCCAACAATGAGGTCTGATTTTAGTTTCTGCAAAGTTTCACATTCAGTGACTGCTTTTGTGTGCAAAATGAGCTCCAGTATAAAATGTCATCTCTCTTTAATACTTAAACTGGAGCGCTTGCACCTTTTTTTGTATTGCTAACCATCTTTAGTATGATATATCAAATAAGAAGCTTATTTCATAAACGTTCCGTGGAGTTAAAGGTCCTCTTTTAGTTTATTTTTGACAGGCCATGTTGCATGTTACCTTTAAATGAAAACCTCCCAAACACTAAAATATATCTATATTTTTTTTATATAATCCAAAATTTATAAAAAAAAAAAAAATACTACAATGCAATTCTGTGCTATAAAACACGGATTATTTATGACAATTTAATATTTACAGTGTGCTCTAATTCTGAATTAACAGGAAATGAATAAAAACTTGCTAAACAACTGTAAACCCGGGTTGCCTGCTCTGGGTTTCCCCTGTTAACCAATAAACAGATGGCGAGCAGTCAGTCTGATAATGCAAGAAATATCTAATAATAAAGCGATCCAAATATATGAATTTGGGTAAATGTTGGTGTTAATTATACATGTGGCAACATTTCAATAGATATAAATAGTGCTTTGCGAGAAGTAAAAGAAAGGAAAATTGTAAGTTTTAATAGAAATTCTAATTCATCCCCCTTTTAATAACTGAAAAAAGTTTTCGTCTGTAATTTAACAATAAACACTGTTTTAATGGGGTTTTATTCCAACTTTTGTGTGGTAAATTCCATCAATTACTTATTTTCTTTAAAAAAAAAATATAATTCCAGTGTTTAGAAAAGTACAGTAGAATGGACTAACAACCCTAAAACCTGAACCACGTAATAGTAGTATCTCAACGTTTTTTTTTTATTCAAGCAAAAAGCACTCATGGATTTTTAAAAATGTTCAGGCAGACAGCTAATTTTAGCTTCTGATATTTTAAAAAACAGAAGAAAATGAAACAGCATTGTTATTCTTTAACCAAGTATACATCTCTTGAATCAGATTAAATAGCATCCAATACGAGTATTTACAGTTCAATCATCTAATCTCCAAACAGCTGGAGTTATTTGTGGTTAGGTAGAGTAGCCAGAAAGTTTACTCAAGTAAGAGCAGGGATACTCATCAAGAGTATTACTTAAAGTAAAGTTAAAACTATGTTATGATAAAACTGCTAAAAGTTCATTTCTCTCAAAAAGCTGCTCAAGTAAACATTATTGAGTAAATAAAACTAATTACTACCTACCTCTGCTGACAATGATGTAAACCATTGGAACGATCAGAATCAGCACAGAAAAGTCTCCCTCAGTGAGCTACAGTAAGTGGTATCTGTTATAAATAAATGACCCTCTCTTATTTCCTTTCACGCCTACTCATTACCTCATTGTTAAAAATCCATTACACACACCCTATTATTTCTTCTCTCACCTCTGATGTCTCCAGGGTTCTTTTATCCTCTTGATAATCCCAAATATACAAAAATAGGGAAGAATAACACATTAAATCTCCTACCTTTTGTCTCTGAGTGTGATGATGCAGAGCAGGATGTAGATTGCAGGTCCATGTAACAATCGTCCTGCCACATAATGCGCTTGCTACGGTCCATGATTGAATCATAATGTTCTTTTCTGTCCATAACAACTATAGGAAGCTCAGTTTTAGCCCTCGGTGCTCCCGTCCGTCTGCGTAATTAATCCAGGATGAAATAAAACAGAAATAAAAATATGAAAGTAATCCATCTTCAATTAAACAAACAAACAACATGGAAAAAAAGCTGGTTTATAAAGCAGTAATAACATTGAAATGTTAATGGAAATAGGATTTACTATGATATTGTGCTGTAACTCTCAAAACTATTCATGCTGTTTGCAGTTTGACACATTTTGTCACATTATAACCTCACACTTACTTAAATCAAGCAATAAGAAATGGTGAAAGATTTTGAAGTGCAGGGACAAATGCACAAACAAAATCTGAACAAATGTTCTATGGAGCCCGAAATCCACAGCTTTAAACGGGACAAAGCAACAAATCTGTTGTTATGGAACCGCAGCAAGAAGAAATCTATTTTTATAACTGATAGTGAGGAACATGCCAATTTTGTTCCAATTTATGGCAGAAAAAGAACACTTCACTTCTCTACAAAAGCATCATTGCAACTCTGAGACATGGTGGTGGCAGCATCATGCCGTGTGAATGCTCTTCTCTAACAGGAATATTTAGAAATAATGGGTAGATAGATGTAACCTGGCAGTAGTCAGATCGATATGTGTAGATCTGAGTTGATTTCTATGTTATCAATCTGGGATGGCTGCCGTTCAGTCTGTACGTGACAAGGAGGGATGTTTAGACAATACTTTGAGCTGATTGGGTGACGTGCCATCTGGTTACATCTGCCATCTGCCATGATTGGCTTTCAGCCAATCATGGCAGAGAATCTTGACGTTTTGTGAGCTGATAAATCCAACTTTTTCCTGTCAGAAAAAATCCTGTTGGAAGAAAAGCAACGACATCTTTCCCATCTACAAACAAACAAAGCTTCTTTTTGCTCCTTTTTTAAACGAGAAATTGTCTATTTTAGCTAAAACCGAGTAAAATTTGTTATGAGACAGAAAACTCAGATCTTGCGACAATCCAGCTTGCAGCTTAAGGTTAAGATAGATGGTGCTAAATGTGGAAATAACCTTTTCGAGGCTGCAGGGGTGGAGGTTCAGCTTCCGGCTGGACACCCGCCCTAAACAGCCTGAGAAACAGAGGAATCAGTTAAATTACCCCTAAAATACACCAACGTTTGTCGTTGTAAAAAGAAAAAAATTAATAAAATTCAAGGCCTCATATATAAGCTATAAGCACCCTGGTCGGAGATGATCAACATCAGTTTTATTTTTTATTTTCAGTTTTAAGCCCGGTGAAGAGGTGTGAAATGGGTAGCCGATCACATTTTGTCTCACAGCCTCACTCTTTATGAGGTTTTGGGTTACTATAGATATAGGTGAGGTTTTTTCAAAGAATAGCATTCAACTTTTCAGTTGAACTAGATTATATGATTCAATACGATTCTCTGAATTTCTCTGTGTGACAAAGCCTTGAATGAGCGCAGCAAAAGAAGGAATTTCAATGGAAAATCAATGTTCTCTTCAGCTTTGACCTCTCCTCTGCCTCTTTTCAGATACATGCCATCAGAATAAGTTTCAGAGGGTCTGACTGTTAAATGAAGAATGTGTCTATATTCTTTATCCTGATGGGACTCATTAGTGTCCTTTTTTGCTTTAGTTCACACTACTTGTCTATCTGACCTTTACATTTCAGCCACTTCTTTTTTCTTGATGCTTAGATTCTGCTTTATTATAAGAATGACAGATAATTCTTCTCCTGCTCACAAAAACCTGAATCATTTTGCTGTTCTTTTTTTTTTTTTTTTACAAGAAAAAGTAGCTGAAAGCAGAAAACAGTTCAGATAAATTAAACTCCAGACTTTTTTCACAAACCATAACAGGACCTAAATTCAAAATGCACAACAGAAATTGTCATATCAACAATGTGTCTGCCTCAACAAAGCTGAAGTAAAATTAAAAAGCATCTGTAAATCATCCAACAGAAGCAGACCTCACCAAGATGGAAACTGGATTAAGGCAGGCACCCTGTCGACTTCTAATGCTAGGCTTAAAACTTTCCTTTTTAATTATACTTATAGTAAGAGTTGCTCAGGTTATCCTGATCTATCTCTATATTAATGCTGCTATAGCCTTAGACTGCTGGAGGACATAAGGACCCCTTTTTTTTCATCATTCTGCTTGATTCTCTCTCTATTCTCCTGCTCTGCAGAATTTGTTTGCTTAATCTCTAATGTTCTGCTCTTTCTACTTTTTCTCATAACTTCATCTGGTCTGTTCCTGTTTGGCTGTGACTCCTTCCTAGAGAGAAATATCAGCTGCGCTGCTGCCATCAACACCTTTGTTCATAGATGTTTAAGCTCTGCCTATTTTTCAGTATAGTCCTGGTTCTCTGACTGTGGCTGGTTGGACGTGCTCTCTATAGCCTGATGACATGGGAGCTGGCTCAGAGCTTGTCTGCCTGGCTGTGTGTTTCCTGGCGGGGACGCTTGTAGAGCTGGTTGAAAGTTGCCTTTTGTATCTCTGCTTGTTTTTCTATGTATGCTTCTGTCTCCTTGAACCCCAGCAGCCTTGTCAGATGGCCGCTCACACTGAGGCTGATTCAGCTCAAGGTTTCTTCCTGTTAAAAGGGAGTTTTTCCTCTCCACTGTTGCTAAAAGCATGCTTAGTGTGAGGGATTGCCTTTGAGTCAAGGAGTCAAAGCAATCAAATGGCTTTCCTTAGATAGAAAATTTAATCAATTTGACTTTATGATCTGGTTGAACTGTAAAGTGCCCTGAGAACAAAACTATTGTTCTTTAAGTTTACTTACATTTTTAATAGGGCTAAAATTACTTTAGATATTAGACCTAAAAAATGTGTGCTACATTGTCAGTTTTGTATTTGGTTTTATATTGTTTTGTCTAAGAGTGTTTTGATTTATAAACTGATTGTAATTGGTTTTTATTTCTGCTGCCCTTCATGACATCTCAGCTCAGTTTAGGGCTGAGCTTCAGGAAATTGCAGCATGTGGTTCTGTTCCATGTCTCAGGCAGATAGTCTAGAAGGTTATTTTGAGGTAATGGTTGATCAGCGACTGAAGGTTTTCTTTGTTATGTGGTTAACACTGCAAATATGTCAGTCAATTACCATAGCTACCAGGGGCTTGTTTTGATGTGTTTTCTTCCTTTTGCCTGGTGGGGTGGGGGGGACTTAATGTGAGCTCTATCTTCATCTTCTCTTAGGTCTAGTTTGTCTAAGGAGATCAATGAATTGTGGGTTGGTCAGGTGCAAGTTTGCATCTTGCTTTGTTCTTTTCAAACAGAAGCAGTCTTCCTCTATGATGCTCTAAAATAGATGATATGTATATGAACAGATCAGGTAGAGGGATCCAGGCTCCATCTTCTCAGTTACTAGCTTCCCTGTCCTAGCATAACAAATGCCTCTCCATACTATGATGCTGCCAACACCATGTTTTCAGTATTATTTCGTCTCATTTGTTTTTCTCCATGCATAATGCTTCTGATACGAGTCTTTTTATCAGCCCTGACCAGCTTCCCTATTGTGTCTGCAGGAATGTCTGCCCATAGATCGATGCGATGTGTTCAGAGCTCTAGGAGATGTTCAAAGCTTGGGTCATTGTTTCAGAAGCTTACCCTGCTTTAAACTGAACCAAAACTCCACCTCCTCTTAACCCATCTTTTATATTCCTGATATTTGATGCTATTTGTTAATAGATGTTGTCTAAAGACCCTCTGAGGTCACAAATAGAACAGTTTTCTTTATTACACATAGGTTGACTCTATTTACCAAAAAAGGTGCCCTTTAAAACGTTTTGGTTGTATGGCATTTTAATGAGTGGTGTCAGATATAGAATGTTATCCAAATAGATCCAAAACTAAGATGCTAAAATTTAGGCTTGGATTTAACCCACATCAACTCTCCACATTTAGGCATTATTAAATATATATATATATTTTTTTATCCTATAAAAACCACATTTCACCTTGTTTGCATCAAGGTTGAGGATGACTGTTCAATAAAAGCTTGTTTTTTTGAGAAAACAATCCTTTTAAAATACTGATTGATTTTAAAGATACTCAAGTAAGACTATAAGTTAATTATAGTTTTTATTTTTTTGCATAAAATGATTGAGTTTTTTTATGAGACATTTTGTTTTACTATTTGTTTAAATAAAGTCTTGCATCTCTCAATATATTGTCTTTTTTCTAATACTAAAATATTATAATCTCTATTGAAAATGATAATATTTCACTGGGAATCATACTTACAGGATGCATGAACAAACGGCTACCTAAGTAGATATAAACTTTAAGTCTACACAAACTATTTTGTTACAGGTTCATTTTAATGGAGATTCATATCTTTAATAAGCCTGTTAATGTTTCACCAATAGTTTATTCACCAGTAGCTCTCTTAAGCTTTCTTTGTCTTCTGGCAACCTTTGCACAAAGAAAATCATTAACAAATGTCTATTTCACATAATCAGAGCGTCAGCTCTGAACACGATTTTTCTTGTAACCTTTTCCTGATATGTCAAAGGATTTTCTTCCATAAATAAAGAACATTCATGTTTTTTCAGTTTGCATTTTCTGTTTTATCGCACTGCTGTGAATGATAGCAAGAACCTGCAGCAAGTTTCACACCATACCAGAGTTACACTCAAAAGCTTGTGGTTTTATCACAAGTCTGTAAGCAAAAAAAAAATAAACCTCAGTAAAACCTAAGAAGCCTCAACACCCTTATAGAAGTAGCTGTGGTCATCTCTCAGCTTGGCAAATGCATGAGGCTCTAACGGGGGGGTCTCTATCTCTTTGTGTTCTGGTGTGACACATTAGGCAGCATTATTTCCCATTGCTCCTAAGAACAACGACATGGACCAGCTCAATTCCTTTTGGAGAAATGTTAAGAACTGAGCTGTTATGAGAAGCAAAAATTAAGCTTTCAAACCTAAGAACTCATCAACAACTGCCAAGCATGGCAGTGGAAGTGTCATGTTAAGGGCTTATTCTTCAACTGGCACGGTTTAATTGAGCAGATTGATTTTTTTTTTTAATTATTTCTTTACTCTAAATCTGTAGCTGTAAGGGTAAAATCTTATCCAACTGTTTGGTCAAGCAGCTAAACGCCCCGGACATGAAATGCTTTAACCTCAACCCTATTAATACACATTTTTAACTTATGTAAGTTGTTTATTTTTCAAGTTGCATAATTCTAAATAATTCATGACAATTTATATGACATCCATTAAACACATGTGAACATTTTCAACTAATAAGCCGTAAACACAAACACACATTTCAGTTAAACTCACTAAATCCTCTCCTCTGCAATGTGAGTTTTAAAGAAACCAGGGATAACGATGAGAACGAGAGGCCAGCCCAGTCTGCAGCATCAATAAGGCTAACACTAACAACACCAGCAGGGAGGCTGATGTGTGACATAGCTTTAACTCTTCCCCTATAGATTAAACTAACGGTTATGTCAGATGAAGTTTTCCTCTTAAACGACATGGCAATTAGTCCATGAAGCCAAACTCTGAGGATATCAGTATATTTCTCTCAGGGTTTAAGAAAGAAAAGCCAGCGTACACATGGTTCATAATGTTTGAAGCTTTCCTGAGAAGACCTTCCTCTGTGGTTCACTGCTAATCCCCTATCGTCACGCAAAGGAAACCAGTGAACGAGGCACAGCCTTTAGATGAGCAGGAAATGGTGTGGAAGCTTTAGCAACTTAGCATAAATAACCAGTGATATATTACAAAACAGAAATTGAGAAAGTGTATACAAAAAGCTATGAAAAGAAGGAAGAGGTGGCATCTATTGCATCATGCATGTATTTTTTCTATATTTATAGCAATACAGAAATAATCAGGAACCCCCTTGACTGGAAAAAGTGTGTTGGACATAATGTGCAACTTTAAGCTTAAAACCCTGAAGGTATAAAAGCCCATAACTATGTAAGTAACTCACCATGAGCTCCTTCAAGTTGTCTGAAAGTTTGAGAAGAATGCTGAACCCACAGGCGTCTTAAACAGAAACTCCATGAAGCTTATAAAAGGACGCAAAAGAAAAAAAATATAATTGTAGAAAAACTTCAAAATCTACTCGAGCACAACCGAGCAAATTTAAAGAAACCCCCAGAGGATGCAGCAGCTCAAGTCAGAAGTCAGAATGAAGTCAGCAGCTCTGTTGCCGGAGATACTGTTTCATGCTGCAGCATCTTCCTGTCTATCTGGCTTCCTGTGCTGCAGTGACAGCAGGTTGAACGTTGAAATGAGATGAAAAAAAAGCATGCTTTTTAACTGTGCAGGCCTCGTGACAAGGTTTGAAACCTAACAGCTTAACCATATCATAAATAGGTACTTGGTGCTGCAGGAGGTATTAAACCACAGCTGCATCTCCGTATGACACATGGTTATGGTTAGGAGGGGGGAGAGATACAAGGAAAAGTTCAAATGATTTCAATATTTTCTGTTGTTGGGAGATAAGAAGTAAATTTATTTTTTCTGTCAAGAAAAGATGCATTCTGTACATATTTTATATTTCAATGATATTGCAAAGCTTCCAGCAAATTACCATATCCGCTAGGGGGGTGTTTTGTTGTGCTTCTTTTCCTAGGAGGGGGCGATTTTCAAAAATACCAGTGAGTTTTATGGCCCAAACATCTTCTCATAGGTCTAGTTTGTCTATGGACCGTAATGAATTGGGGTTTGGTTAAGTGCTTGGTTACTTTCAAACAGAAGCATTTTAAGAGGAAGTACCTGACTATGACGTAAAGGGGACATGATGTATGTTTTTTCTTTTACTTGTAAAGGAGTTCACATTGAACAACCCCAATCCTTAATACTCCTTATGTTCTAAAGGAGATGTTTTCACCAATTTCAAATAAAAAGATTTAGCCCGTTTTCTTTTTTTTTTTTTGCAAACTAGTTTACTCATATTGGATGGAAAATGTCTGAACATTAATCTTACTGTATTTAGGTCCCAATTTGGACTAGGCACAGATCAACAAGAAGAGTTGAATCTCTGGCTGTATGTTGAAAGATGAAACTCCGCCGCAGTTTTAGGTTTTAATTTTCCAGCAGGACTTTGTAAAGGCCCAATCTGTCAAATTCATGACAATCAGACACTCATTAATATGATAATTTGTATCATCCCTCCATCTATTCATCCATCATGCAATGATTTGTATGAGTATTACTTATTGAACAGAAAGGAACAAATTACATTTTGCATAAATAATATTATAAATCCAGATGTTATTTAGAAAAGAGGTGAAGAAGCAAACATTAAACCCAACAACTTACACAACAGAGATGTTTTTTATTTTGTTATGCATGAAACACTGGAGAGAAATTTAACAATTTATTCTCAACCCTTGTTGATAAAATAAATGCTTCTGGTGTTTTTTTTAGTAACATGTTTTTAAGTGGAGTTTTATGCTGGAGGACGGCATTTTAAATGCCTGGAAGCGACAGCCTATAATGACTGTTTTAGATCTGAATATGCATAAAAGAACAAATAGATCAAACTTAAAACAAATTCTGATAAATCTACATAAAGTCTTTCATTAAAATCCAACATAGAGGTTCATAAAATTTTTAATTGTCATGAAAAAAAAGAAGCCAAGGGAAAATAATGAAAGTGGTCTCATCTGGAATCCTTTCTGCAACACAGGAGCAGATAAATTGTAGAAGCAGAACTCTGTGGATTAAGGCTGCTTGAAGACATTCTGATTAGATTTCAGTAGAAATGAAATGAATGCAGAGAGAAGGAAACTGTGGTTTATGTTATTCAGGCATACAGGGACATTTCCTTAAAGCTGAATGGATAAGGAAGCCAAAAATAGCTGTAGAGCTAATAAGTGTGTGATCTGCAGTTGGAGGAACACACAAAGGCATGAGAGGAAGAGAAACACTGATTGCAGCTGTTGGGTTGGGTCCAATTTATGATTTCTGTGAAGCTTTGAGCTGATGAGTCTGATTTCTTCATTAGACTTATTCAAACACACAAGATTTTTTCTTTCTGATTGAGCGGAACGTTTTACTACAATTAGAATATCTAATTCAGTTAATATTCAATTGTTACTTCGGAGCCTTAAATTATTCATTAAAGTTAGATAAAAATCTTCATTGTGTCCAGGTTTCAATAACCTGACCCGGTCTGGACCTCAGAAGGATCCACACTGACCAGGAACTGCTTGGAGTCAAGGGGGGAAGGATAAAAAAACAAAGCCCACCATGTAAAGATGAAGAATTTCTTGTATAACTGAAAAATGCAGCTGTCCACAGAAAGAAAACTAATTATCAAGATGAAATTAATGATCCGAGAAACAAATATTTAGCTTTTTGGCAACAAAAACAAGTATAATGGAATCTTTACTAGATTTTAAATATCCGTATGAGACTCAGCAAAGATCTAAATGGTTCCCAAGAGGTCTTGCAGTTATACTTTAGGTTCATTTTGGTCAAGGCCTCTTGGTGTCCCAATTATTGTGGCTCCTGGTATTATTGGTGGCAATGAAGCCTGAAAACAAACTATCATGGGGCCAACACATATAATTAGCTAAAACCTGGACACAGCTGGGTGTAATGGAAGAAAAATGACGCAAAACACAGATTAAAACTGGCTCTGAAGAAGAAAAAAAAAAACAAACATTTACATTAAACTTTTAAATTCTGAATAAAAATAATGCTGTAAATTTATGGATTACAGAACAAACCAGTTTAAATGAAAAGTAATTCCCACCACAATACATGACAAAATATGCAGTACCTTTAGATGACCATGTACCCTTACTGATGGAAAAAAAAAAGAAATATGAAAAACTTTCATCCCTTTCTTGTTTTAAAAGAAACAAAAAAAAAAAACCCTGAAGATGTAAACTTAACAATATTTCACTCATAGAGCATTAAATGCAAAAAAAAAAAAGTCCAAAATGAAGAAGAGCTGGACTGTAATTTCCAGTCATCATTTTCACTGCTGTAAATGTTTCCTCTCGAGTTAAACCAGGCTGTTGATCCTTTTGAAGTCAACTGATATTATCAAGCCAAGAAAAATGTCAGATTCACTTCTGAAGACAAACTATTAACAAACATTCATTCGAGGGATGTTTTTTTTGTTGTTGTCAGATTTGCACCTTTTTCGTCATATTCTTAGTTAGAAAAGTTTAAACAATTTGCTTTAAGCAGGCAGATAAAAAGTGGTTATAGGTACTTGTGTCTGTTAAAAGTAATTCACATTTAAGGAACTGTCAAAACCTTTGATCATCTGTAACCTAAAATGAATTAAAACGACACAGGTCAGCAGAACAGATATTTTTTTAGGAGCTTCTTGCTAAAACGCTCCAAAGTAACATTGTTTCAATGGTACGGATTTATAAAGTTTATCCAAAATCAAACAAACAGATCAACAAAATGAGTATTTAGGACTCAAATGGGAAACAGCTCCCTTCTTTTTCATTTCCCTTACAAACCAGCAGAGTTCAAATGAAAAGGATGCTCATCAGTCCTTAGTCTGGTGTTGCCTGATCTGATGATACTGGAGCAAACTTTTACAAAATGATTCTCATCGGTCAGTCCTGTGTCGTCACACAGAGGGTCACCTGGAGCAGCTCTGCTTACATACACCTGAAACAAGCCTCTGAATATCTCCATCCATCACTCGCTTCCCTCAAACGTCGTCTTTTCCAGATGTAAACACGGCAATTCAAAGCGTTGATTATAGATCAGACATTCCCTCTGCGTGTTTGCTCAGCTCCATGGTGTAATAGTCTGGAGGATGCCTGAAAATTCAAAAAACAGCATTAGAAACACTAAAACGAGCACCGAGCCGGCATACAAAACTGTTATATTAAGACGTTTCTGTTTTTATTCTGGGTATACATCAACATGGGACAAGATCTTCATTTCTTTTTCTACATTTTAACACAATCTTATACTGAGGGAAATCTATGTAGGTTCTAGAAAATGCAATACTTTTTCATATTGAATCAGCAATATACCTACAATTCTGCCAGCTGATTAATTAATTAAGACTAGGGCTGAAACAATTAATCAGATAAATTGTGATTAATCAATTACTGAAACAGTCGTCAACTAATTTAGTAATCAATAAATCATTAATTGGAGTGTGGAGACTGTAAAATATGGCTTTATCTAACAGAGCATCCCATATAGAGCAGTAATTATATCAAAATTGTAAAAAAAAAAAAAAAAAAAAAAAAAATATATATATATATATATATATATATATATATATATATATATATATATATATATATATATATATATTTTGAAGATAGAAAAAAAAGTTTCATCTGTCAATCTGCTCTATCCAGAACTCCTCAAGTAGAAAAGTTTCGGTTTCCCTGGTTTAATTTAGAAAAAAATCTTCTTTAAGGAACCTTTGGCTATCCGATTACATTATTACTCGATTCATTGGAAAAATTATCCACAGAATAGTTGATTTGCAAAATAATTATAAATTGTAGCCCTAATTAAGACATTCCACAGTGCTGAACTGTGATTTATGAATTATTCTTTCTCTAAAACTAAGTCTGGGTGGAAACCATGGCTGCATTCAGCTACCCAATAGACCAGGAGTCCTCAGCCTCTACAACCCAAAGAGCAGTTCAGCTAAATTAAACTAAATTAGAGTTGGTTATCTTACATGATCAATCAAAAAAAAAAAAGATGTAAGAAAGGAAAGACTCTTATCTATATTTCAAGGTTTTGAGATACAATAAATCTTTAAGAAAATGTTTGTAAAAAAAATATGTTGAAGAGCACTTACTGTAACATACAAGCCAAAATATGCATTTGTTATTTATTCAAGTCAAAAGGGATTGGTTATTATGTTTTTGTCAAAGTAATAAAAAAAAAATAAAAAATTTGTTTAAGGGCCAAAAAAGATCATGGTTGCAGGCCAGATTTAGTGGATGCTATTTGGATATCAACTGCAAGATTTAGGATATGACTGCTAAGTCTAGGTCTGCAAGTCACCTCTGCATATTGTCTGTTTTCATATTTGTGCCTGAAATCAGCTTGCAGTCCATAAAAGCATACACTTCTTTTCAGATAAGCCTGTTTTTTCACCAGTAAAATGTTTTTGTTGTTATGTAGGAGACAAAATAACACTGTTCAGATCATTTTGTCCAATGCACATCTAATTATTCAGGGACTGTTTAGTCTCTATATTTATCCAAATAGTGGTAAGGTAAGGTATAAAGGAGCTATAAAGTTAGCAATCTCATGGTTTAGAGCTCAACTGGCTGTTCTCAATTAGTGCAATAATTCATTTAAGTACCACTAAGATTATTTCCACTGATCTTCTTTGTTAAACTCATCGAATTGCATTATTTATTTTATAATTTTTATGAATTATGTTTTCCCATTCCTCAGTCAAGCATTTTAGCTACTTACAAAAAATAGGTGGACTTGCATTGATTTAAGCATTGCCTAAATAATAGAAAATGTTTTTCTATTTTTAGAAATAAAAATAAAAAACAATCTATTGGCCCATAGCGGGAAATTTAGATGTTTTTAGCAGGAAATTATGAAAAAAAAAAAAAAACTCCTCATAAATCAACTAAAGCTCCTGCCCATCCCGTCTAATCAAGGTTTAACACTGCTGGGTTCTGCAACACTACATATCAGTAGTGTATAAAAATTAAACTAGCTTCAACATTGAGCACTTCGTACATCGGGGTTACTAACATCATTGGCGGCAGCGCTGATATGTAAAGATAAGACAGCTCTACTAGAACATCGGACGATGAGAGACTTTTTAATTATTCAAACAGTTTGGAGAAGTTTAATCTTAACTATGATCATTTAATGAGAAAAGGTGTCAGAGCTTCAGCCTTTCTGGTTTAATGCACAGTTTGATGATCAGGCCAGAAGTGGTTCTACTGTGGATGGCGAAGCTGAGGACGACGCTGGTCTGCAGAAACACCTTCTTCACATGTTTGCATTAATGGTTGGATGTTTTTCATCTGATGGGATTCTGTGGATCCTTGCCAAGTCTGTAAATTACCTCTCGGTGTTGTTAGGTTTATCATTACACATCATGTGCATTGTTATTCTGTTAGCCAGATTAGAGAGAGTAGAAGGCCCTCCTTCACATTGTAGATGTCACTGTGTGTAAGGAGATCATCTAAATAGGACAGCCTTCTTGTCTTTTAAAGATACACAGGATATGGGCACATCTTGGAGCGGGACTGATAGAGGAGAGCTATCTGTAATTCTTGGGCATACCTGTAGAGGCAAGATGCATGAAGTTCAAGACATGGATGCCGTGTCAGTTTCTGATACGGACAGCTAAACATCCACATGATGCAAAACATAGACTCATGAGGTATAAGAAGGAGAAGATGACCTTGTTCGAGGCTCAATCTTTGCCGGACGCTCGCGGAAGGGATTTTTGAGCCCACAGCTGTGCAAGCTCCAAGCATTTTCTCTGTCCTGTAACGACCTGATCTGGAATAAACTCTGTTACTTTTTTACTCCTGTTTTTATAGTCCTTTGTTATATGGTTTTACCCAGTTTGAGTTAAGAGTACCGTATTTTCACGACCATAAGGCGCACCGTACTAAAAGGCGCACTCTCAGTTATGTGTCCCATTTCTGTATTTAACACACACTTATATACAGGTACATGTCCTCTACTACCTTTAAATACCTCTACTGCGTATTTAAAAATACAGCGGGGGCAAAACTGAGTATGACTGTGCTTTATTCATGTATTTATTACAAAGTATTAATCAAACCTGGCAGCTGGCCGTGAGACAGACACATCGCAGATGACACAGCGCTGTGGTCACTCCTAAATTAACTTAAAATCCTGAAACCTGCCGACGGAATATGTTCGCTTTTATTACCGGTATCCTGGTGCCTGCAGTTTAAATTATTTAGATGAAAAACACCTGCCAGCAGCCGCGGTGAACCTGGAGGCTGCCCAGCCTATGGCTGCTGATGAAGGGATTCCTACTGTCGGTGCACCGCTGGTATGTGGGGGTCTGAGCGCCTCTGACAGAAATAGATAATCTGGATGAACTGACTGCAATTATTAAGTTTTCAGGTGGACTTTCTCACTTAAAAACATATTAAAACTACTTTATTCCCACTGATCACAGCAAATATAGCTGCAAGATTTAGATTATTTAGATGAAAAAACACCTACCAGCCGCCGCGCTGAAGAGGAGGAGACCCGGCCCAGAGGCTGCTGTTGAATTAAGTTTTCAGGTAGAAAAATAGAGCCGGAGCAAAACTGAGTATGATTGTGCTTTATTCATGTATTTATTACAAAGTATTAATCAAACCCATCAAAGTCATCATCCTCTGTTTCTGAATAAAACAGCTGCGCTAAATCAGACATGCCAATTTCCCTTCTTCGCTGTCAGAGTCACTTTCCGTGCAGCGCGGCTCCTCAGAAATAATGCCTGCTTTTGCGAAAGCTCGAACAACAGAGCCAGCAGACACGTTAGTCCATCTACAATCCATCCTCAAACGGTGGCGTAACTTGCCTGGCGCTGCCTTCCACTTATCCTGAAACTGTGGTCTCCGTCTGTCATCCATCGCTCCCACGCCGCTCGCAGCCTTACTTTGAACGGCCGCTCCACACCGATGTCGAGCGGTTGAAGTTCCTTTGTCAGACCCCCCGGATAACGGCGAGCACAGCGTTCATTTGATTCACCTTTTTTTTCACATCGGCTGTGAGATGGGCACGCAGCGATGGTGATGCGTGGAAAAAAACACCTGGTCTCCTCACATACACCTCCCTCAGCCACGCTTTCATCATCTCCTCATCCATCTAGCCTTTTTCATTTAATATCATATGTCATCAGAGCGCTGTGTCTGTCTCGCTGTCAGCTCCCAGATCAAGCTTCTCTGATTGGTTGATGCGGCGCGTCCAGCAGCAAAACTTAAATTTTTCCATCTGGAGCAGCAGCAGCGCATTGGCAGATGCTTAAACGCTCCCGACGTGCTGCGCCTGCTGCTGAAAATGCGCTGCGGGACCTTTTGCTGCACCTATACACGCGTCAACCATTGACTTTGCATGTAAACACGCTGCTTCTGCTGCACCTGCTGGGTCCGGTTCACACCGATGTCGAGCGGTTGAACAGCGAGCACAGCGTTAATTTGTTTCCCCATGTTTTTCACATCAGCTGTGAGATGGGCACGCATGGAGTTACAGATTAACAGCGATGGTGATGAGTGGAAAAAAAACACCTGGTCTCCTTACATTCAGCCACTCTTTCATCATCTCCTCAATGAGGTGGTCTCAAAAGTCGCAGTTACAAAACACATAGGGCGCACCGCACCATAGGGCGCACCGCACCATAGGGCGCACCGCACATTTTGAGGAAAAAAAAAAGACGTTTAAGTGCGCCTTATAGTTGTGAAAATACGGTAGTAAATAACTTGCTCCCAGGAAAAGAACCGGAAGGGAAGTCCCGAGGCGCAGCTGCCTTTAAGGGGACATAACTTCCTCATTTAACAGTGTAATGTGCAGAACAACGACGCACTTGATTTTGAAATAAATCAATAAAAAACAACCCAATTTAATGCTGCATGTAGAAATTTGTCTCAGATTTGTGATTGACTAATTTTAGTGATTAGGGCTGGATATTTTCGCTAAAGTCTTGAATCGATTGGATTTTGATTCATACAGTTCTAAATCTATTAATTTCAATTCAATCTGTTTTTACAATAATGAAAGTGGTTCAACTGTGTTTCAAAATACTCATGTATTTTATTTTTTCCTGTGATATTAAACACAAAGTGCAAACTTGTAAATCCGACAGGTTAAACTTGAACAAAACTGTCTCAAAAGTGCAAACTTGTTTGTGAAAAGTGAAAAAGTGAAGCCTCACTCGAGCAAGCAGAGGTGACACAGAGGGGACACAGCAGACATGCATGAGCTGCATTATCTTCACTGCACAAACCATATTTGCAGCGTTGTCTGTAACAACTACACGGTGTTCGCTGGTCGGCCCCCATTTGTTAATGTCTTCAGTCAAACTATTGGCTATATTTGCAGCTGTCTGGCTTGAAGTCATCTTGAGTGCATCTTTCCTGCTCATTTAAATATGGACATCAAGCGTGTCACTATAAAACTAATTGATCTCATTCCCTAGACCTTGATTGCAAAAATGTAAAGGAATCGATTCACAATAGATTAAATCTATTTTTTTTACTCAGCCCTAGTAGTGATGGTAAAAGCCAGGGATGATAGAAACTGTTTGGGGCACTAAAAGCATTTGATATGAAGACTTTCAATCTAAAGTCACCTAACCCTTAGCTCCTTAGCTAACATTTTATTCTTTATTGTTGATTTTTTATTTGTTTTGTTGTAAAGGAATTTGTTATATTTATCTTGCAAGATGCTATATACACCAATATTTCCCTTATATTGATGAAAGATCATAACTAAACAGAACCTGCATCTCCAATTAAAGATCATCGGCTTCGCTTTGCATCTGCAGACAGTTTAGTTGGTTGCTATCAATCCAGTCCATATATGCAATGAAATTGATAGCTGCACCGATTGCAGTTTCCAGGGCAATAATGTCGGGCATGCCGAGTCTGATTTAGACTGATGCTGATTTTCTTTATAAAGAGATTGCAAAACACCTGAATGTTTCAATCTTATTTCATAAAAAAAAACGAAAAAAAAAAACATAGAAAACCTGCGAAACAACAAAAACTTTTTTTAAGTGCATAGATTAATCTCGTAGATATGAAAACATTTTGAGCACTGACAGCGTCTTATTTTCAGACCCTTGCAAAGGCAGATAAGATCAGTGGTTAAGATCGGTTTCATATCACAGCATCAGCTGATTACAGATCACCAAAAAAAAACACAGGGCCCACTGTTCGCCCCCTAAATCGGTGAAATACTAATTAATTCTACAGCTAATGATCGTTAAAAGGAAAAAAAAACTGTTTTCTTACACAATGAAATAAATGCTAAGATCCGTTCGCATTACTTTCCAAATCAAAAGCGTGTTTTAAAAGGGGGAAAAAATATATAATTAACTAAACTGATTTTCTATTTTAGAATTGTTTTATATCCAAAAAGTTAAATATAAAGTTATTAACAAAAGCGTATGAAATGCTTCAACACCTAATAGTTAGCTATCAGTAACTGATTGTTTTTGAATAAAACAAACAAAATCAATAAAGTAAGAATCCTTTCAACATGCTAGACAAATTTCTGCAACGCACGCTTAAAAAAATTTACGTGAAAGATTAAAAGAGCGCATTAAAAAATAAAGATTTAACTGTAAATCCAGGCATTAAATGTTTACAGTGCAACAGTAGCTAAAGAAGCAATGAGATAAAAGCAGAATAATTGCAGGTTCTCACCTCCTCCTGTAGAAATATGTGAACAGAGCAGCGCCGAGTCCAAGCAGGATAAGCACCAAAATGATCAGACCGATCTGTAACCCCAAGGCCGAGGCTGGGAGGGACACAACTCATTTCAGTAAAACAGCAAAAGAGGCAAACTACATACGTAAAAAAAACTTTTTTTCCTCTTCTATCTTTATTAAGCTCAGGAAATACGAGCTTTTGCCTCATAAGGACGTCCAGACATGTTCACTATTCCTCCCCACCCCCAGAGTCTAACTCTAAGTCTCATATCTGCAAACATTTTATCATTAAATCTGTAACATCTAGTTCTCCTTCAACTCTGCATCGCTGTTGGTTAGAAATCCAGACATGAAATGTTTCTCCTCAGGCATACATTACCACAACAAATTTTAACAATTATAGATTTTCATTAAGAATTTTATCTCTCACTTTAAAAAGTATCCAGAATGCAAAAACTAATAAATGCGTGACAACATGTCTATTTGAAAATTAATCAAGTTATGCTTTTATGTGTAAAAAACAAAAAAAAAAAAAAAAACAGATAAAAGCAGGATTTCATATTTTTGTTTTACTTTGTAATGAGTAGAATAAATATTTATCCTCATCTTCATTTGTCCAGTACTTCTGTATATTTCAATAAATATGGATTGGAAGGTTTTCTTCTTGTCGTGAGCAGCAGATTTTTTTTAAAAATGTCTATATACCGTAACTATTTTCTACATCCACGTTTAAAACCGAAATCACAAGAAGTCTGGATAACAAATATGTTCTGATTTAAAGTGGTTTAATACATTTAGCTTAATTTAGCAGTTAATAAATGAGTGGAACAAGAAAGCCTTTAATTTTGAGCTGCAAGAGGAAAACCATTAGAGTTCCAGTTTAAAAAGCAATCTGGTCAAAAATTTAAATTAGTGACGCATGTTGGTGGCAGCATCATGCCTATTGTCTGTTTTTAGAACCAGTGAAGTCTGTCAGATATTCACCTTTTATCAGCACAACAACTTTAAACATACAGCCAGATCAATGGGATGTTTAAGATTAAATTGTAGATCAGTCAAAGCTCTTAACTTAATTCAAGCAAACTAATTAATCTAATTGGGCTGAGCTTGAGCCATTCTCCAAATGAGAATTGGCAAAAATTGTAATGTGACATAACTTTAACACCTGTGTCTGGAACCTTAATAAAAGTTTGCTTTCCAAAATATTCACTCAGTGTTGGTTACATTAAAGTACACCCCAATTAATACATCTTTTTGTCAAAAATAATAAAAATAACAGTCATGCTCTAGTTTGTGCCCCATGTCCCTGTTTAACACCTCCTGTCACATTACAAACTGTTAAACAAAATGTTAAAGAAAAAATGATAAATGGTGTCACATCTTTTGCACATCTACACCTGCAGGTTCAGACACCTGTAATCTCACAGTTTTAAAGAGTTGTTATGTCAAGAAGCCCTTCAGAAGTTCTGTTACAATGGTTCGTGATTGAAATCATCTTCCTGCTGCCGTGATTGTTCAAGAAGCTTTAGAATATAAATTAAGATTGGTGAAGAGCTGTTATTACTGAAATGAAAGTTAAAATGGTGTGAAGCTTGAAAGTAATTGGAATAAACCAGTTTTGTGAAATTAAAACATTTTATAAAAAAAGTTGTTCTTCTCTGCAGAAAAGTAATGGAAATAAATATGGGAAAAATATACTCGAGGTGTATTTTTAAAATATTGTTGCCAAACTAATCTTTAATATCAGACTTATATGTCTCAATAATTGGAGTAGTTGGATGAAGAGCAGAACATTGTCTGTCTAAAACCTTTTTGTTTGTGTGGGTTGTTTTTTGTGTTTTCCTCTCTCCACCACCAGGCGGTGCCCTGTCCTCTTTGGGCCTCCCTGCACACCTGCGGCTCGTTGGGTTATTACCAGAGGAGTACTTGAGCAGCGGGCTGTCACCACCTCGACGCCAGAGTGTTTGCCAGTATTGGGTACTCTAGCCATACTGAGATTAGCAGAGTCTAACCTATGCCTTTGTCTCTCTGAGTCCAAGCTTTGCCTTTGTCTTTTGTTCTCCGGTAGGATGCCCTCCTGATCCACTGGATAAGCCTGGTCCTTCTACCCCCCCCTTGGAAGGAATAATTCAAGTCACACTGTGCAAGAGGAAACCTTCACCAGATCTGTTCAAGCCCACTTCAGGAAAACCCGGTGACAGTCCGTTCCATTGCTCCTCTGGACCCAACGCTAGTCTGCCTGTCCGCCCTCCAACGAGTTCATTCATCTCTGGATTAAACCCCCACAAACTGGACCCAAGGGAAACCAAGAATTCCCCCTAACGTGAGTCTTCTCCCGCAATTCACCAGTCTCAGTCATTTTCTTTAAGGGCCTAGAACTGAGCTTTGTGATCTCCCCCTAACAGTTTCCAGTTCCGGTTCACCAGACCACTGAAGTCCCACTGAAATAACCCTGCATATAATCTCTCTCTCAGTTTTTGTCAATCTCTCAATAAACCTGTTAACTTTTCCCCTGTTTCTCTGAGTGAATCTCTGCATGTGGGTGAGATCTTTAAAGCCCATCATGACAGTTTCCTTCATTCAAAAACGTTCAGTTTAATTTATCTTATTCCTACAGTTCCAATCTACAATAAATATCATTTAAAAGTCCAGTTTGTTTAAAGAAACTTAGAATCAGCTCAATCATTAAAACATACATTCCAGTTAGATCCATGTCATAGAATAAGAAGGTCCAGGTGAATGCATCAGGTCGCAGGATTTGCAGCAACATTTAATCAGGGATGCAACTAACAATTATTTTGCTAATTAATTATTGTGTTGATTAATCGATTAACAATCGAATAGCAAAAGGTTCCTTGAAAAAGTTTTTGTTAAGGAATTAAACCAGCTGAAACTAAAACATTTCCCTTTAAGGAGTTCTGGATAGAGCATATTGACAAATGAATTTTTTTATTTTTTTTAATCTTATATTCAAAAGGTCTATTTTTCTGCTATTTTGGTCAAATCAAAGCTTTAAGGGGGTCGCTCTATCAGTGAAAGGTATGTCTCTATACTCCTGTTAACAATTAATCGATTAGTAAATGAGTTGACATAATACATCGATTAATCACAATTAATGTGATTAACAGTTTCAGCCCTACAGTCAAATAACAGTTGCATTAGTTAATCCTGATGGAAATATTTGAGCTTCCATGTTGCAAAAGTGAAGGAAAAATACTTTTAGCCGTTTAAATACATCATCACTGATCAATCCACCATACATGTACTTTAGAGCTACCTGTTGTCTCCAATCTGCTCATCAGCCGGTGCCTTTTCATGAATAAGGTGGTTATTAGTGAAAAGTAGCCAAAAACTCTGGAAAGGTTGCTCATTATTCCTCATCAAATGTCTTTCCTTTACCAAATGGAGGATATTGTTCACCACATTTAATGCGCAACGTGGTATTTTAATGCAGTAACCTTGAGCTCCATTTTGTAAGCAATATGAGGAACTCCTCCTGTTTTCAGTATAGATTTAATAAGGCCTTTATAAAACAGATAATATTGACATATTTTCCTTTTATCTAAATGTTATATATTGTTATACATAGATAGATGTGTTTATTTTCATCATAATTTTTAAAAGTATTGTTCATTCGTATTGATAAACTTAAAATGTCCTTTAATAATTAAGGTAACAATACATTTCTAAACAAAAGACATTCAAATGTTACTCCTCCAATAAAAAGAATGAAAATGAAATTTGAGCCCAATACATTTTTCAACAAGACAAAGATATATTTACCAAAGTGAAGCAATTGGTGTCCGGTTTTGTGATGGGTTAACAGATGAACCAGTTACCAGCTTTAATGGTTAAACTAGTAAAATATTTAATTTGTTCTGATGTTTTAAATGAAACTATTACTATCATTCAAAATCCTAATCGAGAATATGATAACCTGATTAAAAATCTTTTGAGGAAATTAGGATTATTACACGTTTTTTTTTATTGAATTATCACCGTCAAGCACGTTTTTTCTTCAAACTTTAACTATTATGAGGTAATTTGATGTACTGTCCTTTGCATGTCATCTGGGATTTTAGCAGACAATCTTGTTGGACATTTAATGCTCGGGGGATTCTTCCTTTGTTTCTTTGAAGACTGCTGTGCAATAAGGGACAATAAAGTGACTTAAACTTGTAAAATTTGTAAATTTAGATAGCATATATACACTGCAGGCATGAAATTCTCTTATTATAAGCCTTGATTACAAATCAATCAGTTTGCAACCAGATATTATAAGAATATTACATGTCAGTATACTACTGGAAGGAAATGCATCGAACAGAAAATGTATAGAAGTTGAAAAAGTGAGAAAATATCTAAGAAACCCAACAGATTTTGAATTTCTGTTTAAACTGAGACAAAAATGTAATTTCCCTGTAAAACCTGCATTGCTGCTTATTATCCACAGCTGATTTGATTTCAGCAGAGGCACATATTAACAAACCTGTGGACTATCATTAACAATCCTCTTTGTGTGTTTATACACTGAGGCGGATTACATTATTACATTAGCAGAGTACAGAATGTTCAATTATTAATTTAGCTGATTAGCAGCAGTTTGTTTTCCAAATATGAATAAATAAAGTGCAAAGCTGCATTTTAATGAAACAGTGTTTGATGCTGAGAGTCACAGATCTATATCAGAGATGTCCTGACCTGTATCTTTGTAACCCTCTGGGGTAGGAGTTGAGCAGGCCTCAGCAGGGGAGGAGGTGGTGCTGAACGTCTGGCTGATGTGCGCCGCCTGGTGGTCCGACAGCGCCCTGATGTCTCCCCACACCCGCAGCCATCCAGACACACAAGAAAAATTGGTGCCTTTAACAGAGACAATAGAACCAAGAAGAGTTGAAACAAGAAACAGGAAGTTTGCCGTGTTTGGTTGTGAATGTCCTAATTTTTTTTAGACTTGTCTTTTATATGGGATTGCATTGGTACCAGGGAAAAAACTTGTTTCTAAGAAATGGTAAATGGCATGTACTTATATAGCTCCTTTATCCAAGTCAGGAGACTTGACCAAAGCGCTTTACACTACATTCATTCACCCATTCACGCACACACTCACACACTGATGGTGGCAAGCTACATTGTAGCCACAGCTGCCCTGGGGCTCACTGACAGAAGCGGGGCTGCCGTACACTGGCACCACCGTGCCCTCTGACCACCATCAGTAGACAATGCAGGTGAAGTGTCTTGCCCAAGGACACAACGACACTTTAAGTCGGAGTCGGGGCTTGAACTGTCAATCCTTCTATTTCAGGGCAAACTCCTACATCCAACGCCACTGTCGCCACATGACCCATTCAGTCAGAATATATCACATTTTATTTCCCAGCTCATGTACCTCCAACTTTTGTGGGTTGACAGTAAGAATGCAGTCATGGAGAGGAAAGGAACACCACTTTATCTCAATATGGTTCCCAGGTTTTACGTAAGATAAACAGGTCAAAAGCAAAACAGGACTACAGCAGAATATTACTTATACTTATCAATGGAGATACTAAGTCAGTCTTTGTTCACTTCAATTTTACCAAAGGTTTATACTGTCAAAATACTGAATTTAGTCACATTTTTACCCCAGTAAACTAATCAAGTTAACATTTTTGATGTTGGAAAATAACAGGATAATAGAAAATAACAGATTCTCTACATGCAACTGGTCTGCATGTAGAGAATCTGATTGTTAATCATAAAAATTTAGCCCTGAAGATGCCTACATTAGTTTGCCACAGATGCTTTTTTTCCTCTAGGAAAATCTGCTGGGCTCTTTTCAATCTGGAGAGCAGTGCTGAAAATGTTACACATTTCACTGGATTGATTCACTTTCTCACTACTTCAGCAAAGGTGGATCAAACCACCTGGACAATGTCATGCCAGAGGTGCTCATTTGCCTTTAAGATTAATTCTCATGGTATTGGTGCGTTAACAAATAGGCACAAAAAAACTGGTTGCAGTTTTATGGTTTAACGTGTGATGTAAAGCTGTGATAAAACAAAGAGCTGCCGAGCCACCGGCAAAACCAAAATAACCATGCAGTACAGAAGGAAGGAGGTGTAGCTGCTGCTATCACATCCGATTGTCAGAATCCACCATTTCATCTTTGAAACAGCAAAAACATTAGAAATAGTTTTTATGGTTTATGAGGACAAATTCAGTGCCAATTAATTTGTACCAGTGATTGCTCAGTAGATGTCATTTTGATAGGTTCTGCTTAATGTCCCTCTTTTCCCTTGACGGGTTTGATGGGAGCAAAACCAGTTTAATAAAACGTGGAACTGAATATGAGTGCTACACATTATTAATCTGGTTTGCCATGTTGCATTAGCAGCTCCATAAAACAACACTTCACTGTGGATGAAGCAATTATGTATGGCAAACTGTTAAATACCTAATCTAAACTCAACTATTTTTCTTTTTAGTCCTGTTCAGCATTATGGTTGCAGAACTGAAATCTGAGTGCCGTGCTACACTGAACAAATTTGCTTTGCCAAGGGAGGCTTTGTTGATGAGAAGCACCCCCCCCCCCCCCCCCCCCCCGATTAACCAGAACTACTTTTTTATGCCTTTTGTTACCAAATTTTCATGTGACTGATAATGCCGAACCTGAGAAACCTAAGAAAAGCAGTGGAAAGTAAAGATATCTTTTCGACTAAACTATTTTTAAGAGAATTTTTATAAAATCTTATCTCTAGGTAAGAAGAATGCAAATGGAGAAAGATTTAGCTAAAAACCAAAAACGTGTGAAAGCAATGACATCATGTATCTTAGGAAATTTAACATTTTAGGACAAAGTTTAATTTTTAGAAATGGGTGTTTGTCTTACAGATCCTGTGTGGCTACTATATGTTTAAACCGTTTGTCCTAATCATGCATCTCCATGACAGCATGATTAGCGCACACAGGAGTAAAAAATCAGCAGTGAGAAAAACAACTTAAATGTCCATATTGTGCACAATAAGAGACAAAAAAGGACCAGAACTCACTCGGAGTTGAATTGAGACCCAGGTTTTCAAACCTACCACAGGTAATTTTTTATTTATTTTTTTTTATTACCAGCCCGGCCAAAAATAAGTGAACTATCTGAGAAAATTCTCTGGTTGGTTAAAGTCTGAGAAAATATGTATTTGTGGGACTTTTGAGATGTTTCACCTGCTTATTTGAGGCTAACAAATGGATCATTTTCAAACAACATGTCTGCTTACTTTAATCCACTGTTGCCTTTCCCAAATTGAAAATTAAGCCTAAGCCACATAGACATCTTCTGACACACTGCCTACTAAACCACTAGTGAAGATTCTCAGTCATCCAGGTCATTAGCATTCCAAAAAAAAGAAAAGAAAATTTTCTTTTTTTTTGGAATGCCTACTAAATCCTTTGTGTATCAAATGTGCTTCAATTGATCTATTCCAGATTATCTGCAGTTAAAGATGCAGTATATCTATAAAATCTGGGGCTTCTTTCAGAGTTTTAAAAAATGTTGATTTTTTCTCTGATTAAACACCAATAAATCAGATATTGTTACATTTGCAATATTGGTTCCACTTGAAAATTATCCTTTAATGCCTTTATGTCACAAAAGTACAAACTTTTACATTTACGCTTTTTAACTTTTGAGCTGTATTCGATTTATATCAGAAATGTCATTTCAGGTGGGAAAAGTTCCTGAAACCCCTCAGGCTTAAGGGGTTAATGTAGTTAATAATCTCATCTCCTACATGAAGAGAGGTGAAGAAGCCTTACTTTGCAGATGGAGCGCAGAGATACCGCAGTGACACCTCTGTTCCAAGTAGTCAGCCACCTCCACCACCTTCCCTCCATGAATCAGACCGCTGCAGTCTGGGGTAAACAGAGAGGAAAATGAGGAGGTTTATTTATTTTGTTACCAATAATTCTAACCGTTTTACTTTATTTAGAGCAAACATTTTAACAGGTTTTCTAAAAGACTGATCTGACAATGGATTAAAATCTAGGTTATATAATAAAAAGGATAAAAGCTCAATAAAGCTTTTGGCATTTAACCAGTTTAGGTAGGAATAAAACAGAATAAATAATTGTATTCTTTGTTATTCATAGATGTATGGAAAAGAGTACAAGAAAAATGTAGAAGGAGGAACAGAAAGAGGGGGATGAGAATAATCTGCATGTTTCTCCTCTTTCTTGTAGCTGATTGGTGAAAATGTGGATCTAAACAGTAACTATAGAAAGCCTCTAACAAGCTCTCTCTGGATAAGACAAAGTTGCTGCTGTTTATGTCTAGAGAGCTTCTAAATTTAAAATAAACACCACAGAACTGGGTGGGGCGCGTTATTTCATAATTCTTTAAGATTTTCATATCATGTCCATTCAAGCCTGTGAGACTCAGACACTTTAGTGCTTAGCTTTAACTCTGCTAAATGCAACGAAGGAATCCTGATTACGATGTTGCTGCTTTATGGGAATATTACCGTAGTTTTAATCCTTTTGATCACAGAAATTATTCAGGAGGGAATAAAGTTTCATATTCTAACTGATGTGGTTTATCTGCAGCCTTCCATCCTTTCATTGTGTCTGTCTGTCATATGAGCAGCGCTGTCTGTTCATTTAGCATTCTTATTCTCTGCTAAGTGCTTCTGGGAGACTGAAGGGGAGGACAGATGGAATATTTTAGTACTTGTCTGAAGAAGGCTCAGATGATTAACATCAAAAAGTCTTTAAAGTCCAAAATATGAAAAATGTTCCCCTATTTCCTCCAACTTTAATGACTGAGAATGAGCAAATGATTGAAATGCTGTTCGTCAAAACAAAGGAATTAAAGCAGCTGGTGAAGATTCTCAGTCATCAAGGTCATAGTCATTCCAAAAAAGTTAAAAAACAATCCACTGGACCTTGTTTGTAGACGTTCGAAGGCGTTTTGCTTCCCATCCAGGAATTTTTTGATGTGAAGGAAGACATTTATGTTAAGAGAGAAAAACTAACCGTAAACAGAGGAGGTGGTCGCAGGTTTTAGCTCTCAAAATCCTACAATGCAGTGATAAGAGTTGATTCCTTCCCGCTAACATAAAGCTCATCGCCATGCAGGGGACTGAGACATCTTGCCTCTTCATCCGGGCCAACAATGCCCCTAACGACTGCCCCGTTTCAGAGTCATAAACCAGTATCGGGTATTGCAGGCTAACAAAGACCTAAACGACTCACCAGTACTAAGGGGCGGACCTGTTCTTCCGGTTCAATTAGCATCTTTTCTAAGCCGTTACAAACCTTTGTTGGGCGACTCTATAAAACTTGAAACTCAACGCTATTTCAGACAAAAGCTTCCTGGAAGGGAAGCAAAATTTCTTCAAACTTGTAAAAAAAAAATCCAGTGGTTGGTTTTTTAACCATTTTGGAAGAATTAAAGCAGCCTATCTTTCTTCCTAGATTCGGTTCTCTCAAATTTTCACTATATCACTTCTGCAAATGTCTTTTTGTAAACAATTAAAACAAACAATTCTTCACCTCCTGACTGCTCTTGTCCCTCGTTCGATGGGCGTTCCAGGCAGAGTTGGACCTGAGTCGAGTAGGCGGAGCTTGGGCAGAGGTTGTTTCTGTGAGGCGTGGGGGACGAGGTGGTCCACGAGGACGGGCTCCTGACCTCACAGCATGAGCATCGGCTGAGTGAGATGGGACCATTCCCCACAGACCTGCACAACAGTCCACACAAGAACATCATCAGATGTTCATTTTCTATATCTGGGGCTTCTGATGGGTTTATGGGTCCAGATCATGAACTCCAACCTTGATTTAGTCTGTATAGAAGCAACTGCACTCATGTGAATATCTTACTGTAATTACTGTATATACAGTATATCCCACATGCACCTTTTCCTCCTTTTGACAATTGAGCAAATGTGACAAGGGAATTTCTCCACTGTGGGATCAATAAAGTCTAGATTATCTTATTTTAGGAGGCGTGTGTTACCGTTTATTTTTCCTTAGCTTCAGAGGCTACTTCACTGTAAAAAGCAATACCCTCAATTAGCCATCATGGCTTATGTCTATACAGTATTTGACTCACACTTAACTTTTAGAGTTCAGAAACTTCAACTTGATTTCATGAGTTTATTTCATTCCAACTCAATGTTGTAAGACAGTTTAAGGAAATATAAATTTGGAAAAGTTAACATACCGTAACATTCTAAGTTTTAAAACCGTATGTTTTAATCTGATATGGGAATCAAAATTAATATATACTACTCACACCTGAGCAGGTGCTTTCCTCACTTATGCTTGCCTATCAACTAAAGAGGTTGACCACCTTAACTTATGAAGGATGGGAAAAGTGAAGTGGCAGATGGTTACTTTTTAACAGCAATATTAGTATTTTTGAATAAGAAACTGGAGAGTAGTGAGTGAAACAAGGTTAACTTAACCTACTTCAATTTTCTTAACAGCCACAAAATCTAGATCGGAGTCTTTAACGTTTTGCAGGCCAAGCATCCCAAAACTGATGCAATATCTAATTATATATATTGCATGAAATAGTGTTATATCAAACTGATCCTATAGTCACTCTCTTACATATAGAGTAATGTAACAATAGTAATTTCTCCCTGGGATTATTAAAGTATTTCTGATTCTGATTCCTGGTTAATGGGACAGGTGTTGTGAATGAAACGGTGCCCAGATTGAAAGAGCTCCTGTGTGTCACTGAATGTGTGCATTGATGACTGCAGAAAGGAGACACCTAAAACAAACATTAAATATTACAACAACAAATTTTTATCAAGTTTTCCTTGAAATCAAGTTAACTCATGTTTTTAACCCAGCTTTTGAACAAATATTAAACCACCCTGACCATTATTACAGTGTAGACATATTTGTCATATTCTATTTATCGTATTTTTTGTATTCATAATTTCCCTGCATCATGGTCTACAAGAAGTGCAAGCTTATTTGAATTTTATTTTGTGTGTATTATTATTAAAGAAGTGCCAACAAATCACGAAGATACAGACAGAAACTTTTACTTCAACCTCTAATCAGTGATCAGATAAAGTGGGGTGAAAATTTGGATTTATCTTTTTCTTCTTATTTTCGGTTTGGCTTAATGGATCAATCAACAGTTTTTACTTGATTTTCATGTAAATTCAAATCCACTACTACTATAAAAAAGTGCTTATCTTCTTTGCTATTTTATATGCTGATTTCTCGTCAATGTAAAAAGCAGTTCATTTTGTTTTATATTTAAAATTTAATTTTGTTTCCCCTTTGGAAAGTAGTGCTGCATGTCTGTGATTTCACCTTGAAGCAGGGATGACTTGTCTCCCCCTGGTGGTGGAGAGAGAGGATAGCAGTCGCTGGTTTTCACTGAACACCAGCACATCTCTGAGGCTTGAGTTGGTCAGAGCATTACCAGCTCTGCAGACGCTAAACAGGTCATAGCAGAGGACCACTGCTCCTCGCGCCGGCATTGAGGTGCCATCAGGAAACACCTGATCTACGCAAGACAGAAACACAGCAAAAGAGTCGGTATTAGTTTTAGTTTTAAACAGGATGGGACATCACAGACCAAGGTTCCTCACTCCTCTCACCTGCTTCAGTTACATTTCCAATGACGTATAACCCATCCTGATCAATAAAACCTTTTAAAGGAAGAGCCATGACTGTCCCGCTGAAGTCCTGGTCGAACACAGTGAGCACAAGGCCTCTCAGTTCTGTCCTGGGTGGTCCGTGTAACTCCACAAAGGCAGTCTGCTGGCTGTGATTGCTCCAGTGCCTGCTGGACACCTCACTGATGACAACACCCTCAGGCGCTGGAGGAGGCCGGGGGCAGATGTTTTCCCGGAGAGGTGTGGGGGGAGCAACCTAGAATGATTCATCAACTTCAGAAACTTTGAAACAAGTGCAAAATGACATCTATCCATCCATTTTCTAACACACTTCATCCCAAGTGGGGTCACGAGGGGTGCAAAATGACACCTTTACAAAACATTCCTGAGAATGAGGAGAACTTAGCTCTATTAAAAAGCTATAAAAATTAGAGTACAAGTTAATTTCATTTTTATTTTTTTAAGTACACAATCCGTCAATGGAATAAGGTGATTTTAAAATATGAAAAAAGACCCCTCAAAAACGATCTAGAAATAAGAAAAAATGGCTTAAATTAAGTGTATTTTCGCTTACTTTGAGTAGGTAAATAAGATGATTGAGTATTTTTACTCTTAAAAAAAGATAAGCAGATATTATGCATTTAAAATAAGACAATGCAATTATTGTTTCTTATTTTAAATGTAAATTTCCTTGTTCCATTTGCAAAGTGTCTCACTTACATCCTCAGTACAAGAAAAAAATGACTTATTCAGATTTGTATGTGTAATTTGTATTTTTGTAGTGTATTTCACATGTATAATACCTTATTAGTCTTTCCTTGTTAAATCATCTTATTTACCATCTCAAATCAAGGGCAAACACATTTTCAGTTGTGCTTAAAGTTTACATACCCTCCTATTAAAGAGAAATAACTTGACTTCAATGATTGTTCAACAAAATTTATTCTAGGAGCTCCATCAGGCCTGCTCTTTTATTTATTTATATATATTCCAAATCAGTGACATGATTTCCATGTTATTATTATTTGTATTTATTAATACTTTTGTCACCTTTAGATTTTTTCCGTCTTTGATGGAAGGGTATGTAAAATTTAAAGCACAACTGTATTTTTCAATCACTGTTTAATTTTAGATAATTTTTTTTCAGAGAATTTTCTCCCTGATATAGATCAGCTGTTTTTTTTTTTGTTTGTTTTTTTGGACAATATTTTACAGATATTCCTGAAAAAATATGAAATAATTTCAGTAAAAAAAAAAAAAACTGTCCAAACAATTATGTTCATGTCTGATAAATCAATCAACCCCCAAAACACAATGAATGATTGTGCCATAACAACACCTATGAGTTATTTACGATAAATAGGGAACACATTTTATTATGTTGATTTTAAATCTCATCATATCAATTCAGCTTTTAAGTTTAACTCACCCCATTTTGAAAACATTACAAAGCCCCATAACATCTTATGTAAATGTCATCAAAGTGGTCGTAGCCAGAAGACACTGGGGGGGCAGAGCTACAGTAAGTGTGGGGATGAGTGGGAGTCCAGATGGGGGTGTGGTCAGGATGAGGGAAAATATTAGCCAACCTTGCTTAGATTAGACCTACAGAAGCATTAAGAGTGTGCAAAGTGAAATTAGTAGTTTTACCAAAGAAAGATTTTTTTTTTGTTGATGCTGAGGGACACTTTGTGGATCTGAGCTCAACTGCCTTAGTGATGGAGGACATATTGACTGCTATGAGGGCGTGTCTGAGGGAATTCTTATATTTAAACAGGGAGCTAAAATCACTAAAGCCTGCATAAGTAAAGAATGCATGAAGATATTTGATCTCTTTTAGCTATTGTACCACTAAGTAAATTCAACAGCAGTAGCCACAGTTCTACTCATTTCTACACATTTCAGCTCTATTTCTTCTCTAGATATTTAACAACAGAATTTAAAACTAAAGAATAACATAAAAAAAAGAAGAAGAAGAAGCACAGTAAAATTAGTAGTGCACCATACACTCAGTTTATACAGTTTAACTGCAAAAAAAAAAAAAAAAGTAGATTTTTGGGGGAGCTGCACTATAAGGTTAGTCTTTAACTAGATTTTTCCTATTGTTTCAGTATCAGTTCTAGGAACCATTCAGAGGGGGGCTGCTATGGCGTGGAGGTAGGACGCATGACCCTTGAACTAGCTGTTGCAGGTTCGAGTCCCTGCCCTGCTGACCTTTGCTGAATCTCTCTATCCTCTCTTGTGACCCACTCATGTCTCCATACTTTCAAGAATAACAAAATAAAGGCTAAAAATAATCTTTGAGAAACCTTTCAGAGGTGAATTTCTGGTTTTTAACTTAAAAACTGGAATCAAAGTTCCGTTAATAACAGCAAGTCCTCAAGATATGGAATAGCCAAAGCACATACAGACAACCACACTACCACCGAGAACCACACTACTAATCAAATGTGTTTGATTGTGGACATTAATCTCTCTTTTTTTATTTCTATGTTCCCCAGATGCACGCCTTCTGAAATGCTCAAGTCCAGTCCTCAAGACCCACTATCCTGCAACTTTCTGATGCCCACCATTTTTAACACACCCGACTATACCGAGTGGCTCGTTACCATGCCTCTGCTTAGCTAAATGAGGGGATTCAGGACTGTAAGAGAACAGATGCAGCTAAAAGTTACAGGATGGTAGCTTTTGAGGACTGGACCTTAGCACCTCTGATCTAAATAATTTCCACTTTAGTAACCTCTGTCCCAAAATGTTGACCCTCTTTAAGAGACCAGGAAGCTGATGGGATCTTCTATGACCTCCTGGATGATTTGTTAAAGAACCCTGTAGGGTTCTCTTAAGTTTAGTAGTAAGATGCGTAATCTTATAAGTGGGATGTTTATATTTTTAAATAGCGACGGGTTGTTTTGGATAATTTGATAAAACCATCACATGCAAACTGCTTTGGTGTGTCCTTATATTAACTTTATATTAGAACTTGGTTGATGAGCCAGAAAATGAACGTGTAAGAAAAACATTTCATTTTCATTTCCTTTCAAAGGTCACAAAGATGAAAGAATGTTTTTCAAAAATGCCTTATTATTTCTTTAATACTTTACCGAGAAAGCAGACAGATCCAAAGGGTAGAGGCCTCCGCAGCGGCTGAGGGTTTCATCCCCCGTCAGAACGCGGTCGTCCTCCAACAACGGCAGCTGTCCTGGGGTCAGAGCTTTGCTCAGTTCCTGTGCCTCCCTATCTGACCCCTTCTGTCGATAGACCACAGCATCCAGCAGGCCCTTTGTTGGGATCCCTCTCTGAGTAGCCGACGGCGGCCCGGATAGGCTACGGTACAGAGCCACAGCGTCCGGTCCATTCTGGATGGTGTTGGGAGGAAGGCGTAAAGACGGAGCCGGCACCAGCCTGTGGCTGCCCAGCAGGAAATAGCCTTTGGAGGTGGTGAAATGCCCGCTCAGGCTGATCTCCTGATATGGCTTGTTGTTGTGCGCACTAAAGAGCAGAATCCAGACATCCTGCAGGGAGACCCTGACACCGGACGGGTGCCAGAGCTCGATGTACTCTCCATCCTCGGCTGCACCAGGCGTGTCTGTGTTCAGCTCATTGATCAGGAAGTCACCACTGCTTCCCGGTGGGAGGTGACGCGGTGAATCTGTACCTCCAGGAATCACTAAAGTAGAAAAACAGAATATTTATTAAGAGCAAGAACAATTTCACTATAAAGCCTATACCCATACAATTTAAATATGAATACATGGGACATATTTATCACAATATTCATAAACATTCAACGTTTACAACTCACCCCATGATTTCAATGGTTCCAACACTTCTCAGGGCTCAGGGAACAGATACAATTTGTCATAAATTCGTTCATATTTACAAATAAACTTTTTTTTTTTTGAATGAGTAAAATTATTCTTAATTTCTTATTTTTTATACAATATAACTAAATTGCTCTAAACTAAACTCTGAAAATGCAAATAAAAAAATGGAACAACAAAGTTTTAAAACAGTTTTTTCATTAAACATCCTAAATTGACACGGAAAATACAACTTGGTAAGATATTCATAACATCCCAAAAGCTGATTTTGAAGTCGAAACAAACTTTTATAAATATTTTTCATAGACATTAGAAATAATATCAACTTTCAAAAATAAATCATATTAATTTTTTTGTTGTTGTTGAAAATAATAATCTAAACAAGCCTCTCCTTTTCCCATCAGTCAGATGCACATTTGGCATTTGCACAATAATCACTTCCAGCTGTGCAGTCTCTCTATGTGCCCAGTGCTTGCTCATCCAGCACTGCAGCCACACTTCCTAAGATTTTACGCTTTCCAAGCAGTCAGCTATAACAGAACACCATGTACTAGCTAAACACACAGATTTATCACATGCTAACTATGTAACTTTGCCCAAAAATAAGCACTGATTCAATCTAACTAAATAACTCATAATAACAGTTGTTGCATCATGACAAAAGTACGACAGATGTGTTGAGGACAATGAAAATAATGAGCAGAAAACCATGCTACAATCAACCAATTTATACTTTATGCACTATGCATGAGAATATACCAATCATACCAATATCCATTAAAACAGTTAAAAATTTTACTTTTAATAGCATGTTTTTCTGCTATAAATCAATTTCATAGACTTATTAATAGGATTTTGCAACAAAGAAAGTATTTAAAATCGGTGTTAGCTAAAGATATTTTTTGAGCAGAAAGTATGAATGCTGCATTTAATATCCAATCGCAGAAACACATTTAATAGTAGCATAAGCTACACACCTGAGATTCAGAAAGCTGTTTAAAACACAGAGGTGGAGCAACTATTAAGAGATACTGCATACTAGCAGTTTTTAACATGTCATAACTTGCTACAAATGTCTGATTCAAAACAGGTCCGGTTTACAAACAGATTAACGGATGGCATGCCTCTACTGTTCTATGCATGAGCGTCTGTTTTTCTTCTAACCAAAAACATTTCCTCTCCTCCTCAATTTGAAGTCATCATTGCAATAATAGCAATAGGTGGGGTATGGTTGCAGGATGCTGTTGTGGTAAAATAATTCCCATCCTGAGTCATTAAAACTAATTTAAATACAGGATCATAAACAAAAAAATGCTAAATATATTAGTTAGCAGTGTTGAAAGCACAACCTTTTCTACAATCATGGTGTGAAATGGCTGATGTTAAAATAGCAGATTTAATAAGTCAGTAAAAGCATGCTGACAGCATCGGCAAACTGCCAGCAGTAATTAAAAATACCACAGAGGTGGAGAATAATCGTCATCTCTCATTTCCAACTGGGTGTTGTTCACATGTTACGCTAAGCACCACCAACAGGCTGTTATATAAGACCACTGGTTTTATCCTGCTTTCCCTTAAGGCCATAAACACAACCGGCAGATATCCGGAGGCCTGAATCAGTCAGATCATGGCCTGTTTGCTCAGTTTCCATCAACAAGAATTCCTAGCATCGCCTGAAGACAAACATGGTGAGGCTCAAGAGAAGCTTTCCCCCCCCTCGGGGTATCTGGGTGCTCATTGAGAACATGGCCTGTGGCTGTCCTGTCATGCTTCTTTTACCACCACCAGTATGGGCTCAACAGCTACATCAGATTATATTAGACAAAGACAAATAAACAAAAACAAAACAAAACTGGGGCATTGCAGCCTCTAAAACTATAACTTTACATGGTGGTTTATACATAAGATCACGTTTCACTTAATTTACTTATAGGCATTACTAGGGTTGGGAATTGAAAAGATTTTCACGATTCCGATTCCCTTTTCGATTCTATGAAACGATTCGATTCTTTATCGATTCTTTTTTCGATTCCAATTTGGGGGAAAACGGAGAACAAACAGTTTGATTATCACCATCAACTTTGTTAACTTAACTATTGCACAATCTTACAAACTCAACAAGATCAAGATGTCCACAGGAAATGTGAAACTGGAGTAACATCTGTGTTTAAATGAAAAATGAATACAGGAACAAACTTAATAACCAACAATGTCTAATAACAAATGATGGGATAATAACCTATTTTAAATAACAAAAAATACTAATTATAAAACAGTAGTAGCGAAAATTAACAGTTCTTTTGCAGAAAGATAAGCATATCTGCTTTTTCTGGAAGATATGGGATCTTTCAGCGCTTAAGGTGTCTCCAGCCGTGGAGAACACCCTCTCAGATGGGGTGGAGGAAGCCTGTACACAGAGGTAGTTTTCAGCCAGTCCAGATAGCAAGGGCAGTGTATCTTGCTTGTTCCACCACCACAGTGTGGCGCTATCCCTGCAGGGGATGGAGGGCAAGCTTTTATAGAGCTGGATTTCCTGATCTACCTTCTGGGCTAAGGAAAGACGGGGCTTTGATTCACAAAGTGACCGCAGCTCGTTGTCTTCCTCCTCGAATACTGTAGTTCTTCCAACTTGCGTAACTTGCATAAAAACCTTACGTAAAGTCGTGCTCCCCAGAGCCGGCGCTCTAGGCTCTGGAGCTGCGGGAATCGAAAAAAGAATTGTCCAGCGAGCTGCCAAGCGATGCCATGGAATCGGAAAAAACAGAACCGGTTTTCGATTCCCATCCCTAGGCATTACTGATTAAAAATCCAATAATTGGAAGTTGTATACATTTAACAAAAGCCGGATAAATATATATTTTTAGATCAGCAAGTAAAAAATACAATCACGGCACTAAAGTACAAGGTGAGCCCAAAGCTAGTAAAGCAGTGACTGTGCATCTTAAAGAAGAAAAAACACAACAACGTTAAATTAGCACTGAGGAAGGGTAAACAGTGGAACAGTAATGGACAAATTATTAGCAGTTTGTTAACTCGGTTGGGACTGCAGCTCACCAACTGTTGGCTGCCGAAAACTGGTAAAGTTAGCCTTTACAGTACTTGATAGTGCCCTATAGGAGCTAAACTAAAGGTTATGTTTTTAGTTGAGTTTGTGTGTTTGTCTCTCTGTCTCTGTACAGGATAACTTCTAAAACTGTGAACGGATTTTAATCTAATTTTACCAGTCCAAGGAATGATCCATAAAATTTTGGTGATGATCAACTTTTACAGTGTGGATGCATGAATTTTTAAAGGATTCTTTCACAAAATTTGGTGGAACAGGCAGTTCCCCCTTAAACCAGAGGGAGGCAGCACTGAACATTGACAGCTTCAACATCAGGATAAAAAAAAGTCCAGAGGTATTACACTGAAGACAAAAACAGAGGAAAGGTCTCGAAGTCTCGATCTGCTGATCAAATGACAGCAGAGGGCAGAGTGATCGAGGAAGTTTGAAGCAGAACATACACCAGTGGCTGCAGACACACTGTGCCTTATTTATAAATTTATAAAAAGATTTTAAGGAAATTGTTACCAAAGGTGGACCTCATGTCAGGGCATATAAAATGGACACAATTATTGTACAGTTAATAACATACATGAAATAGATATTGTTAAATACAGAGGTGTAAGGTACAAAAGTACAAATAATTAGTTAATTAAGTAGAAATTTTGGCTATCTATACTTTACTTTCTATACCACTTACATTTTTTTGGCAATTATCTCTACTTTTCAGTCTTTAAATTTTAAAAATAGACTTGTTTTGTTTTATTTGAGCTCAGTTTCGTTATGACGTGTTGGCATTTAAAAAAATAAAGAACAATAAAATAATTTATTTCATCCAAATAATTAATTTCTTTGTGGTTGGACTCGGTGCTGTACCAACTTCTCATTCACTACATACCAAAATAAATAGTTTTTTCAAAATTATGCAAAGTTAAATTTAACACTGTTGCTGTTAGGTATAAAACTAGGAAATGAAGTATAAGGAAATTATCATCCAGAATTGTAGAAAAATGTCCTTTAATAAGCTAGTGCAGTAAAGCTTCTGCTTTCCCTGAATTACTTTTACTTGTATACTTCGAGTAATTTTACAAATGGTACTTTTAGACTTTTACTTGAGTAAAAAGCTTAAGTTGATTATTTCTACTTGAATAATAAACATGAATACTTTTGACACCTCTGGTTAAACATAGATGCTAAATTACAAAAAAACAAAACAAAAAGTGATTCTTAATTTTCCCCTATTTTTAATGTTAAAAACACATCTAGTTTTGCAAACCCAGTATGATGCATCGTGTCATGAGCCAAAACCAGAATTAAACCAATATTTTCCTTGATTTCCAAACATTAGTATTTGTTCCTGATTTTTCACTTCTCTATTTCTCTCAGTGCTTAACTCTTCAACCAGCATTCACTGTAATGTTTCAGTTTCACTAGATGTGCTTGCTTTGATAAGAGAAAAAAAAGGAGATAATTTTGTTTTTTTTTAAATCATTGGTGTCCCATAAAGACCATGAAACCAAATAAAATAATAATAAATGTATGCAAAACATATTGGTAATCCTCTAAAAACAATCTAATTCGACCTAAAGACTCATCCTACTTTGGTTTTTGACTGAAAGGTAATGCAGTTATTCACATGTTTCATTGTTTCTATTGTTACCTACTGTAGCCGGTTTTATTTTAAAGAAAAAATGTATTTGAGAAGACCAGGATGTATTCACCAACTTCTAAGAGAAACAGATCCCTGATCAAACATACATTTAAAAATACTATCTTTTAAAAACTATGTTATACAAAATAAAACAGAAGTTAAGGACCAATACATTTGATTATTTAAAAGTTTAGGCATTAATAAACAACACTACCTCTAAACATAACCTGCTAAAGTAGGATATTCAACACTATTAGCTTTCTTTGCATGCTTTTTTCGTCACACTAAAAGAATTAGGTCATCAAACCAATCAATCAATGAAAGTAATGTAAATATATAAGTTGGTTTTATTATCATGCTGACTAACTAAGCAAGTGAGAAATATTCCCCTCTTGCTGAACCATGAGTTTACTGTGAATTAACTGTTTCCTAGCAACACATAAGCCTGGTTATCATCAGAACGGTACAACCAACAAATAAAAAAGTTTGAATCTTTCTTTAAAATACTGAGGTATGCAAAAATGTCTAGATAAGACTTTGGAAGTCAAGTGAAACTTAACGCCATTATCCACATAGAAAGAAAAGATTAAATAATGTTACAGCTTTTAAAGAGCGATTTACCTTCCAAAAACTGATCTTAGAGGCTGCTGGCTCATCCAGGAAGTCCCAGAAAAACCCAAAACAACAACATAACTTCCTCAGGAGTCATTTCCTCAGTTAAGATCAGAGATCATGATTCAATAATAAGAGAGAAAAAATAAACCCTGGAAAGGTTTAAAGGTCAGAACCTCTGCTGATCCAAAAGAACACAAACGCTGGCTTTAGATTTACTGAAAAACAATAATGGTACAGTGTAAAATTAATATAGGGATTCACTGACAGAAATGTAATATATTATCTATATGTATGTTATGGCTCAATCTTTATGTTTGCCTTGCCTTAGAAATTCCTATTTAAAATAACAGAGTGGGTGTGCATTTGTCGAATCAGACATTTTTCTGTGCTACGGCAGCAAAAAGTTGACCAACTAGTGACTGTAGAGATTGCCATTATGCTCAAATGGGACTGCGGCAAGTAAGGCGTATCTAAAAATTCTACACAGACTAATAAAATACTACTCGATCTATGTAAACTAGACTTACACAAGCCAAGAGCAGCCTGTTTATTGTGATAAGTTTTGGGTTGTTTTCTAAGCTGACTCACATCATTCCGCTGCTCTTGGTCCATGTTTGTTTTGGTCAGAGGGCCCAAAACAGGATGACAATGATTTGGACAACAGAGGTAAAGGGAGTTGCTAAGCTCAGACAGGAGCAGACGGTAAGCAGTGTGAGGACAGAAGCTGAGAGAGCTCCATACCCATGATGAGCCGGTCAAATATGCTGCCCTCTGGAGCTAAGCAGCCTTAGCTGCAGAGGCGGCAGCTCGACGCAACTACTGTAGCTCAGGATGAGAGCCGAAGATCACAGCTTCATCAGTGCAGAGCGCCATTGGCCCGAAAGACGGCACTAGGCCAAGGCTTGCCTGTAGAGGCCAACCACTGGATGCAGATAGAAAACCACACCTGGCGGACCGTGCGTTGGAGCGTTCAAGAAAAGACATCAGCTGCTTATGGTTTATGTCGCTGCAGTCTGCAATCTGACCATCAGATGTCACTAAAAATTAAACACTGTAACTGTAAGGGGAGATATTCTAAAGATTTTTATTTTTAACAGTATTAAAAATACCATGTACAATCAAACACAGTCATGGTGTTTGATGTTTTGGATCTGATAGGACCCAAATTCTTCTTTGTACCAAAATGGTACCAAATCGGTTCAGCACCTTACAACCTTGGCAGGGCAACAGCACGTCTACCCATGAATAAAAAGAAAACTAAGTTAAGGTTGGAGTGGCCTAGTTAAAGTCAAACTGAGGTATGCTATGTGGTATAAACAGGTCAATTCAAGCCCCAAACCCTTTTAATGTGCCCTAAAAATTATTCTGCAAAGAAGAAGAGTCCAAAGCTCCTCCACGGTGACAGTAGAGACTGACTATTAGTTATCATCAGTGCTACATGGCAGCTGACCATTTCCTAGATTTAAGGGGCTAGTTACATGTCACACAGATCCAGGCAGCTTTAGATCATGTTTAAAGGCTTATTTTTTATTTTTGCATTTATTCATGTCATCTTTGTCTGGTAGTGAAAAGGTGTAGGATCATTGAAAATGTGTGTGCTTAAAAAGCAAAACCAGAATATACCGATGTATGATGCAGCAAATCTAAAATATAAACAATTAAATGTTAATTTAAACACTTACAAATGGTGTGAGGGCAGATTTTTGGCCAAGGACACTTGTTGGACTGCCCAGGGGTTTGTGGGGCCTCCCAGAAAATACCTGGATCTCTGGGCCAGGTAGCCACACCGCAGCGACTGAGATAGAAGCCTCCCTCTCGCAAACTGAAACCAAGAAAGAAGCAGCCATAAGCATCCTGACTGAAGTTAGATTTAATATCAGAGTCAAGCAAGAGTTGCATAGCATATCCACCTAAACATGTAGATGAGGTCTGTTTCTTTCTGGGAGAGAGCTTAAAGCTATATTAGCCAAAAATAAAAGAAATAAGAGAACTTTTTATCAAACCAACTTTTTTAAACAACAAAGAGTTTGTCATGCTTCACCCAGAATGGAGCTGCTCTTTAAATTATTATTATTTTTATTTATTTATTTATAAAACAATGAGTGTTACGGTATAAATGCATTTGCACTGCATGTTGGGGGATTTGTATGAATGATTTATTCACATCAGTTTACCCATATGAGTATTGTGCGATTTGTAGCTGTTCCGAAGATATTTGGTTTTGTTATATCAAAGTAACGTCTTCCTATGGGCAACAAGCCGAAGGCACAAACTGAACTGTTCATAACTTATTCTTTAAGGTACGCCAGCATTCATAACATGTAGGCGAATCACTTTCCCCCAGACATCTGCGGTTATATTTTTTTTATATTTATATTTCTTAAAAACAAAGCGGTGCGTGTATGACGTCATCCGTGCGCACCGGCTACATTCCGCTTTGTTTTAAAAAATATAGAAATATAAAAAATATTACTGCGGATGTCTGGGGGAAAGTGATTCGCCTACATGTTATGAATGCTGGCGTACCAAAAAGAATAAATTATGAACTGTTTAGTTTGTGCCTTCAAGTCGTTGCCCATAGGAAGACGATACTTGAAAATACCAAAACCGAATATCTTCAGAACAGCTCCAAATGACACAAAATATGGGTGAGCAGAAACTGCTGCCTTTAACCCTTTTGTTTTTCTTAGGTACTGTACATTAGCACAAATGTTAGGTGCAACCAAATCCTATTTAAAATCAGTTTTACAAGTTCACCTTTGTTTTTGTTTTTATTTACATCTATTTATGGAGACAATATTGACTTCTACACGATTAAGTAAAAGTCTGGACAACATAAAATCCTTTATTTGAAACAATTCTACAAGAGAAAATGTTGGTGCTTAAAGTGCCACATTGAACTACAAAAGATGAAACAACTCAGATATTCTTAGAAAAAAATAAAAAAATTTATTCCAAAATAAAAGTTCAAAGCTGGCCTCAGACTAAACATAATGAAAATCTCATGGATTATTCCTGCATTGCAGCCACATGCTGTTTTGATGTAGTCTGGTCCTCCTTAACCCTGGCCTTGGCTGAACCAGCTTTTCACACACTCTCTAGAGTCAACATCTTCCAGACATGGTCCATTTACTCTCATGCTTATCAGATCTTCTAATGTGTTTACCTGTAGAAAGTTTTAGTGTTTGAGTTGATCTTCTAATGTGCAGAGAAATGTATGTAAACAACAACAACACAAAATGTTGCTATTATTAATTCCTCTTTTTTAACAGTGGGGGAAACTAAGTGAAAAAGTAAACATCTTAGAGGATAATTAAAGGTATTAATAAAGACCTTGAAATAAAAATGATATAGTAATTATATGTTAAGCATAATAAGAAGAGTAGTCTATTAGTGTCTGTCAAAGCACATAAAGACTTTATTAATTTTTTTCATTGTATCATAAACCTTATAGTTCACATTTGTGACCAAACTGGTAAGATTGGTCAAGTTTTTTTGAGCAGACATATTTCTACTTTAAGCAGTGTGCCTTTGTAAAAATAAATTACAGTATGGTTTTAAACATTGTTTGAGATCTAATCTGTGACTGAGAAATTAAACACTGCAGATTATGAAATCCCAAAGTTTAAGCAAAACATGTTTTTTTTTAGTTTTTTTTTTTAGAAAAACTACCAGTGTAACATGTTCTCCCTGAGCATGTGTGGGTTCTCTCCAGGTACTCCGGCTTCCTCCCACAGTCCAAAAACATGACTGTTAGGTTAACTGGCTTCTCTAAAGTTCCCTTAGATGTGAGTTTGTGTGTGAATGGTTGTCCTGTTTTTCTCTGTGTTGCCCTGCGATGGACTGGCGACCTGTCCAGGATGTACCCCGCCTCTCCCCCATAGACAGCTGGAGATAGGACCAGAACCCCTCGCGACCCCACTTGGGATTAAGCTTGTCAGAAAATGGATGGATGGATACCAGTGCAACATTTATTATTTATTATACTTGTTCTCCATGCAATCTAGATGATTTAGCAAATTTAAATGGACATTTTTTATTTCTAGATTTTTCCAAATTCAGTAGAAACATAATAAAAATGATCTACAACTAAATGCAACAAAATAGGGTTCTAAGAAATATAGAGCGTTTACACAAAACTTTTTTAGATTTTATCTGTTAAAAATAGAAAAAAAGGAAAATCATATTTTTCCCATTTTGCTGCATAAAACATATATTTTTAATTCTATGACTGTAAAATGGGGGCTAAATTTCTACATATAGGGGTGGTTTTGCAGGGTCGTGTGAAAATACCGCAAAATGTCATTAGAAAAAAATATCCAAATATGAGTGGGACGGTGTGGTTAACCTTAAGTATTTCTTTTTGGTCAAGTTTGTATTTACATACTATTTATTTTAACTAAAGAGCTTTTATTAACTCAAATTCAGTGTAAATTTACTCTCAGTGGGTTTCAGCAAGTAGGAGGCTACCTCCATCACTTAAAAAGGGGAACTACACTACCATTCAGACCTATTCCTGTGTTACTCAGCTCAAAAAACTTTAAACCATCAAAAATAACCACAAGACTCTAACCTCACACATATTCAACAAATAGGTGATCAGAAACACTACTTATTGAATTAGAGTAGCTTTTTTCTAATAAAAAAGCTCTTGCCTGTTGCTGAGCTGGTATGGCTGTCTGCCTGGGATGAGCGTCTCTGTGAGATTGGAGCTCGGCTTGCTTCCTGGACCGGCGAACACGAACGCATCGAGAGGTTGCGTCTGGCTCAGCGGACTCCCCACCGGAAAGTCTGCAGCTCTGCCACTGTAAATAGCCACAGCGCCGGACTCATCTCCTGAGGACAACCAGTGACAGGAAGAACGAATTTACAAAGAAATGCAGCTACAAGGGAAATAAAAAAACAGCCAGTATAAGTGAGAATTGGTTCCCCAATGTCAAGGCATATTAGGCTTTTTTTGAAGGTTACAATAATCCTTTGTACAGTTTCTTGGTTTGAAATAAAACAAAAAAGGGCTGTAGAGATCTGAGTTATCAGAGATTTTAAGGCCCAACGAAGAGCTGCCTCCACCCAACCTTTGATGCTAAAAAAGTGCAACCCATTTCCTCAACTCACAGGACAGACACATTTAGCAGCCTGGAAATATTTCTGGTCAATCAAGGTGTGAAAACAGAAAGGGTGTCACCTTTTTATATTTGATTAAAAAAAAGTTTGAGCAGCTTATTTGCAGCTAACTCTTCCCATTGCCAATAACTCAATGTAGCTGGTATCAACATATTGAATTATTTGATAAAGAAAGTTTTTGCATGCAGTGTATGTAAATATCTGATACCAACTCCAAATGATATAGATTCCATTGCATCTATGCTGATTAATATCTTTGCAGGAGAGCGGAGAACTGTTGCGTTTCTCTTTTAAATGAAGAAAAAAGGATATATTTTGTTGAAGTTCCACCATATCTTTGTATTTTCAACTCTAGCCCATTATAATTCCCACTTTTTAAAAAAAACGACATTAGCAGGCATTTTACGTCATTCAGAGAACTAACCTTTCATGTATTTCTTGTCAACGGTCACAGAGAGGAAGCCAGATCTGGAGGTGTCCACGTCTATGCTGACACTAACCTTGTCCGTTTTCCCATCCCACACCACCACCGCTATAGGACCTGCAGCCGAGGTGTCTGTCAGCTCAACCATCCCGTCCACCTGTCCTCCCCCCAGCTTCAGCTCATTAATGAAGGGACTGGTCAATGGTGCAGGAGGCGGGGTGCAGTTGTTTCGTTGACCTGGCGAAGGCAGGGATAACTGGAAACCCCACTGATCTTCAGAGAGGAGGCACCTTTCGATTGACTCATCGGCCTCATGCGCCGCATCGTCTTCAACAAAGGGCTGCTCCCCAGGGGTCAGGGTCTCAGCCAGGAACTGTGCATCTGCAGAGTGGCGATTCATATAGACCACGGCATCCACCAGCCCCACTGGCGTGACGTTCATTTTTTCCGTGTATCGGGCGGCAGAGGTGCGATAAAGAACTATTGCATCCGGGCCATTCTGGACTGTGTTCGGTGGCAGGGGGATGGCCGGGCTGGGCACCAAGTCCACTGAGCCCACCAGGAAGAAACCTCTGTCGTCTGTGCTGTGGTCCTTGAGGTCTAGCACCTTGTAGGCTATATTTCCATTTCCATTATAAAAGACTAGGGTGTAGCCATCCAGAGAGGCCCGCTGTCCACTAGTGTGGTACAGCTCAACAAACTCAGAGGTGTCCAGTCTGGGGTTATCAGCATTGATTTCACTGATAATGAGGCAAGGGTCCGCTAAACTTAACCCCAGCAGGTAGAACCAAATAGATAAAGTAACAAACATTTTCTTCAGTTTTTCTGAATCGCTTCAGTTGTACATCAGCTTCTGAAAAATAGAACACAGGTTCATCAGCATACAGGGTGACTTATCGACTAAAGTCAAATAACAGGTTGACAAGCAAGATGGCACATAAAATAATTATTACAAAGAGATTTAAAGGGGGACCTTATAATTTGGTATGGTGCTTTCAATTTTGTCTGTTTGTAGAAATAGCTTTGGGCTGCTCAGTGGCGCAGTGGGTAGCACTGCCGCCTTGCAGCAAGAAGATCAAGATTCAGTTCCTGGCCCAGCTCTTTCAGCATGGAGTTTGCATATTCTCCCTGAGCATGTGTGGGTTCTCTGGCTTCCTCCCACAGTCCAAAAGAAGAATATGTGGTTAATTGGTTTCTCTAAATTGTCTTTAGGTGTTTGTGTGAATGTTTTTTTTGTCTCTGTGTTGCCCTGCAATGGACTGGTGACCTCTCCAGGGTGTACCCTGCCTCTCACCCGAAGACAAAAGAAACAGAAAAAGAAAAACCTCAGACATGGTGAAAAAAAAAAAAAAGAATGTGCAATTTTTTTTTCCATCCAAATTTCTAAAACTGATACTGAGGAATGTTTAAAGGGTGCCAAAAAAGCAGAACTGAAAGGAAAGGAAACTGCAAGAAATGAAAAAAATAAATCATATCAGGGTCATTGTATAGCCATTTCTTTTTCAGTTTGTCTGAACCCAGATGAGTCATGAGTTTGTTTTAAAGCATCAAAACTTGTGCTAAAAAAAAGACTATATACATTTCAGAATTATGTATTGTTCAGTCACAGTCCACCTGCTTGAGAAGCTGTAATTGCAGCAGCTATTTCTTATATAAGATGATAGTTTCTAGTTTCTTGCTGAATTTGTGAGGTTCCCATATATTAAAGTGCTTTTCACCCTTTAGATTGTCATTGACTTTGAAAGAGAGACCGAACTGGCTGATGGAGGTTTATGTCGCATGTTATTTGCTGTTAGATTTACAGTTTCCCGAGCTCTGTGGCTAACATTAGAATGTTTACTGATTAAATTTTGTTGGTTGATAATATACATCCATGAATAATCTGTATAGAAACTCTATAAGACAAACTGGATATAACATGGATTAACTGGATACTTCAGTTTAGGTTTGAGTTTATTGAAATGTATCTATATGCAAATTGCAAAAGTAAAGCTTTCAGAATACCGTGTAATGTTGCATTATATCAATTCCTGAATGAGAGAAAACACTGGATATACAGTATCTTAACTGGATTTAAGGACCAGTGGTAAGGTTGTTTTTAATGACAGTGGAAAGCTCACATATAACCACTGGCAAAGTGAATTCTCTGCCACTCCACTCTCCCTTACAGATTATGGAACATTTTCAAATAAAATGCCAGATAAACTTACATCTGAACAGAGAGGTGTGAGATTAAGATCACACAGGTGGTGGTGCATATTTTGGATATATCTGTATTGGTGTTCTGTTGGTGGAGCTCTGATCCCTAGCTAAAGGCCACACCTTGTGAATCTCCAGGAAACCTTTGAATGGGATCGACTTAATTCAGAATCCACAAAGGACTGGTTATTCCTGTTACTTGTCAATTGGTCATTTTAGGCTTAGTGGGAAGAATGGATGTCTTCCTATCTACAGGTGTTAAGATGGATTTCTGCTTCCCAAAACTGCCAAACTGTGTACCAGTATATAAGAAAAGTTTGCAATTTTGGTTGGATGAATGAGAATTTTAGTGCAAAAGTACAGTAGAAACATCAGAGGTGTTTACCAGAAATTATACTAAGCTAGAGCTGCACTATTTGATCGTACTTCTACTCAAGTAAAAGTAAGAAGTCCTCTAAATTGATGAAAGAGGCTTCTCACTGATTACTAAGTAACTGATATATTTACTAGGGGTGTGGAAAAAAATCATTTTGGCAATATATCGCGATTTTTGGCTGCCTGATATAATATCGATCTTTTAGTTCCTAGTATCGATTTTTTTAAAGGAAAATTTTTTACCTAAAACTGAGGGAAAATGGGCTACCTTTGTACCACCACTCTGGCAGATGGCGCTGTGGCGCCCTTTTGCTGTGCGGTGCAGCATATTATTTATAGTTGAGGCGTTCACAGTGGAAGACATGGACTCACTTAAACCCCAAACAACATGGATAACAAAATAACTGAACCATCAATTTCATCTGATGAACATAAACAGAGGTTGTTTTTTTTTTATCTATGCATTTAATTTGGATAGCAGGAAAAAAAAAATCGCAATATATGTTTATAATGCACTAAAGTGATAATATCGTATCGTGACCCGAGTATCGTGACAAACATCGTATCGCAACACCCATGCCAATACTGACCCCTAATATTTACTAGCCATGATGATACAATCTCATTTCATATTCTTAAAATTATATAATGCTCTTGAAATACAGTTCTTTGCAAAATCAAGTGTTTTAAAGAATGAGTTAAAAATAATGTATATGCAACGTAGGCAAGCAGAGGCGGTTCTAGATAGGAGCCAACAGGGGCCTGCTGTGCCCCTGTAGAACTAGTCCTGGCCCCTTTTGTAGCCCCTGTACTGAAACACACATAACAAAATTGATGCAATTAGAAGATGCAATTATAAAAATAATAAATTGCAGTGTAAGTAAATCAATTTCTAATGGTCATAAAGAAGAGACTTCTACTGATTTCTACCTTGGACCAACTTAATATTTTGCCTGGACAATTTACTTTAACAATAATTTAGAACTTTCAAGCAGTTTTAGCTTCACCCGTACTGAGAAATTCTCACAGTTTTTATCTGTTAGATCAAAATTGCAACCTGGGCTTTATGGCTCATTTACAATAAACACTCTTGTCCTTTTTTTGTGTGTGTGTGTTAGTTATTCTTTAGTTCTATTACCCTCCAAAAAAACATCATGCAACCCAGAACCAACACTGTAGGCAACATTAATTAAACAACAACCATTTCCCGTGGAAGAGATCCTTTTCAAAATATATTATTTTATTTATTTAGACTTAGATTTATTTTTCATTTTGTTTACACAAGTATTGTAAGACAAAAATACATTTAGTTTAGAACAGCTCTATAGACAATATAATTTTTTTTAAAGTGCAGCCTAGAAAAATAGTAAAAAAAATATATAAAAACAGTAATCTAAACAATGAATACACACACACACATCTATATATATATATTTATTGAGATAGTCATCCGAATTTACAGGAATAAATGGCTGAGGTAGGTCTATGTATGGATCTAAAGGAGGTATTAAAACCTTTATTTAAAGTGATATTGTATCTTATTGATAGGCACTTGAATATAATACTGCTGTCTTTTAATGGATTGGATTTAGCCTTCTTATAAAACACATTTAAACCGACAATAGTGCATTTAGTGAGTCTTTGTGCATCGTTTTAGAGCAGAGCTAATTCCCCTCTTATGCATGAGTCATGAAACATTGCGAAACACTTCAGTAAGCAAATGGAAACTTTGCCTAAAATGTGGAAAAGCTCCAGAAAAGATCAGTGAAGGAAATTATCTCCCAGCCTGAAACAAAGTTGCAAGAAAGCACCTTTATTTTAAATAAGATGCGATTTAGAAACTCTTAAATTGCATTCGGCTCTTTATGTTGTTTGTGTTTTTAGGCGCTTTTTTGGGTTTACATGCAGAAAATCCTCTCTGTTTAGGAAGCTGTGCTCCCATTCTGGTTTTTAATTATCTGCTGCATTCAACAGTTATTCCAGTCACGGTCAGGCTGCTGCTTTGCATGCATCTATCCATGGACCCCCCTCCCCTGCTGTCAATCTGCCCTCTAACCTGCAAACAGGCTCCAACCTACCGTGATTTCTCCCCTCTTGGTCCAGGATCTCCTCTTTTAGAGAGAGGAGCAGAAATAGACGCAGGCTGAGGAGATAAAGTGTTAAAGTTTGTTTTCCGCCGCTCCCGTCATTCACAAAGCTCCACTTTCTCTCCCCCCTCCCTTCCCTGCTTCTGGGCGGTCACACAGGGAGAAAGGAGGGGGGGTGTCTTCTACAAGGGATCTTTTTTGTTTTCCTGAGGTTCAGTTTCCTGTCCTACTATCCACAGACAGACCGATGCTAAAACACTAAAACTCAGGAGGAAAATGTATTACTGACACAGTGACGTGGAAAAAATGTCATTTATTTCCTAATTATATCTTCCAAGGCTCCCTAAGAGACATGAAGAGGGCCTCTGACCCCACTTTGAGAAAAAGCCCCGCCTATCATCTACGTCACTTCAATGTGAAGAGACTCGATCCTTATCTGCTGTGGAAGCAAATCGTTACCATATTTCAAAGGAAAAAGCATTTTCCGAAATACTTTTTCATTTTAAGAATGTGGCTGCACTGTTTGACTCATAAATGAAATTTATGTAATCAATATTTTCATTTTCTTCTTTAACACTTCTCATCCTTTTACTTAATTAAAATGAAGAAAAAGACATATGAGATTTATTTTTCAAAATGTACACCAGCAAATACATACCAAAATTAAATTTGAAATGTAAAATTTGAAAATGAAAAACCATTTCCAGAAATGCCTTTTCATTTAAGAATGTAGCTGCATTACTTGACCCATAAATAAAATTATTAATCAATCACCCTATTGCATTTTCATTTTCGTCTTTAAGACTGCACATTTTATGCCATAATCAAAGAGAAAACACAGCGGACATTGCTTTTTTGTTTTCGTGGTCTGACAGCAAAGTATTGTAAATAACTCGAAAATGAAATAGTCTTCTGTGTGAGTGTATATGCAAAGCCACACTTTTCGTATTTTTCTTACATTGTTCTGCTGTAGAATGTTACAGGAGGGGATAACTTGTGGTAGAGCAGGGGCGAAGCTAGATGGGGGGCAAAGGGTGGCCATGGCCACCCTTAGTCAATCATTGGCCACCCCTGTGGCCGCCCCTACAGTTTATTTCCCTGTAAAGCCGGGCGTACACTGTGCGATTCTTTTTTCAGTCGTTGCACGCATTTACTGCTCACACTGTACGACTAATCGCAGGGTTTAAGGCTGATTTATAATTCAAAACCAGGTCCTCTTCATAGGTGAACAAAAAGACGTCTCCGCACCCTCTGCAGACACTCCGCTGCACCTCTCCCAAATTGTAGCTGAGCGCAGACAGTGCCCCAGACAGGAGCCCGGCTTGTTTAGTTTTTATGACCGAAATTGCGGAAAATAAGTCGTGAAGTTTGACCAAAAGATCGAGGTGCGGGGGAACGCTCGGAGAACTTTTTCCACTTGCATCCCCACTCTTTTTGTCCTCATGTCCCTCCGTTGTCGGACTAAACTCGCCCCCCCTCCTCCTCATCGCCTCGGCCGTATCTAGACCCACAGCTTATAGCGCAGACCACGCTTCAATATTGAGTATAAATCAAAAATGTCTGTGTCAAGCTCACTGCGACACACTGCTGCGGGAGTATAACCAGTCGTACAGTGTGAGCTTATATTATATATCACACTGCACGACTAAAAACCACGTCGGACTCAGCTTTGCAGTGAGATGGAGCTGCTCTGATGACTCGTCTATCCGGAAGCCAAAAAAATAGAAGGGGAATATTAAGCTCACTATAGTGAAATGCGCTGCCTTGTCAAATTGTGCAATTTTGTGCTGAAAGACCTAAAAAGAAAAGGCGACAACGTATTTGGAAAAAAGACATGGCTGAGCAAACGTGGCTACTATGGTCTTTCAATTTTACAGACAACTGCATTTCACTCATTGCACTCCTGCCATGCTGCTGTGTTTAGAAGTTACAGTCAGCTTTGAGCTTCACCCGTATTAGGATAAGATCACAGTTTCTAAATGTTAAGGTAGGGGTGTGCAACATTGATTTTGGGGCTAAAGTATTATACAAACACACACATATACATTATATACACAGAAACAACTAAACTGAGATTAGAGAATATAGATCTTATAAATAAAATGTGTATATAAATTTAAAACTATAGAAAATGATCAACAATATTGCTTATCATCACACATTGCTTGGAATGATTTTTTCTGTTTCATTTGTCCAATCCCATGCTTGTGCTTTCTTTGTTATCTTGGATCTGATAAGTTTACAGTTTGGTATGAATTTCATAGGAAATCCAAAATTTCCTGGAAATGAGCGAATATGTTGGACATTTTCAGGTCTTGGCACTTGGAGATGGGTTTGATTCCTTTAATGGTGTTCACCTGTCGAAGTATCTCACCTTTAGTCAAAGATGCAGTTGTCTCTTTTGAGTTAGAATTCTATTCTGGAAACTTTGAAAGACTTGTCTCAGTCTCTGGTCAAGTTGCTCTTCATTCACTCTAAAGACCAGATCATCCATTAAACAGATGGTTCCCAGGATTCAACATTAGATGTGTGAAAATAAATAGAAAAAAAAATCTAAGATTAAGCGTAAAAAAGCACATTAATATAAGATGCTAACAGATAATACAAGAGTAGCACCCAGAATGAGTGTTGGAGTTCACTGCAGCAACAGCTAAAGCCTTGGAAACTGGCATGTTGATGGATGTGGGATTTACAGAGGCAATGGCATACATCAACGTTTATGTTGGATGATCTTGGCAGCTGGCGCAAAAACTCTTTTCAGGCTCAAAAAGGACTAAGAAAACACCATTGGTGACGGATGCTATATTGTTTTATTTTAGCATACATATTTTGTGCTTTTTTATAGATATAGTAAGTGACTAGGCCCCTTTAAAATAAATTTCTTTAAATAGTTTATTAACATTTAATTATATTGATTGGAGGATTTAGTGTTTTCAACACTAATCCTGATTTTTAATACAAGGCATACGTGATTCAACCAGTCAACGGTTTCATTAGTACCAGATGGTGTTGAGATACAAATTCTTAATTTCCAGGACTGGTAACAGTTTTTGGTATATAAAAGATGGTTAATTAACAGAAAAATCATAAACAGTTATGAGAGATTATTGCCTCAAATATAGAATATGACAGAAAAAGATAACAAAGGCCCTGAATGCACCATATGATATATTAAGGTTAACAGAATGGTAGCTATGCCACCTTGTGGCAGATAGAGGAAGTTAATAGCAGCTGTCACCATATTCCTGAGGAGGAAAGTGGTTAAATTGCTGGATGCATCAGACATGCAACAGCAGAGAACACGGGGAACAATTTTCCACAGTATGAAACAATAAATAGTGCAATACTCCATGTCTGCACGCCAGCACCCCAGCCAGCAGTGACCCCCCAAACAGAAGGAAAGTCAGCCTCAATTTGTTTAAATCCATTTGAATATTTGCTACGTTCATATATCCCAGTAGGGTCTAAGGGGAAGGTAAGTGGTATTTTTGGTGAAAGAAAAAATGAAGCAATCATGTTCAGAAACCCCCTGAAATATATATATAAAAATCTTTCTATATTAAATCACTATAAAATTCACTCAAGGTAATATATAAAAATAAGAATAAAATCATAGTTTCTTCACGATTTAGGAGTTGCTTCTAATATTCTTATCCATTTTACTTCTTTAAGTGTGAGAAAAACAGCCTTTGAGACCTACATTGTCCATGGATTAGTGCCATTCCATATATTTAGAAGAGAAAATAAAACAAGGCAAGAAAATGGATAAAATTACATACATAGAAAAAAGGAACAGAGCAGCTTAAGGTAGCCATGCCTACAGCGAAACATAGTGCTTGATCTTTGATACTTTGATGCTTTTTCCTTTATTTGGTTGTGAAAACTTGCAGCATCAGGGGGGAAACATTAAATTCATTTAGATTTCATGCCATCTGAGAGGTCAGTTAAAATCAAGCTGGCCAGTGGTAATATAATCTAAAAAAAAAAAAATACTTGGTTTTAGAAAAAATCCTTAACAACACACTAGATGACAACAGCTTCTTTAACTTTCACTAAAATTTAGACTTCCTGTAGAGATTGTGCTGTTTTGTTTTTTTAGTTTTCAGTTTTATTTTAAAGCAATGCTGAAACTATTAGCCACAAGAATAGCTACACATAAAACTTATATACTTATATATTACATGTTTACTTTTACAACCTTGATTAAAAATGAAGTTCTCTTTACTAGAAAGCAGGATAATAGAACTACTTCTGGACTGCAGGATAATAATCAACCAATAAAAGGAATAGAATGTATGACCTTTGTCGTATATTGCTTGTCTGCTTTCATTCCAGTTACATACAGTAGAAAGACATGATGCTACAGGAGAATAATGGATAATTTGATCCACTAACAAACCAAAGCTGCTATGATATTCATTTTTATAGGACTCTTGAAAGATCTACCTAAACTTATTTTGGTTCACTGGGCTCCTCATCCCAGCCCAGTCTAAGAAACCTTGGTGTTCTTTTTGATCAGTCGATGTCCCTGAATTACTATTCAAAACTTTTCATCAAATGTCATTTATCACATGAGAATTATCTAAATGTATGCCTATCATTTCCAAATCAGCTACGCTGTTCTTACTTGCTAAAAAAATATCTGCATTCATCTCCGCAAGGCTTAAATTGCATACCTGTCAAATTTAGAATAGATTTAGAAGTTTCAGTTTTAAGATTTGGAGCTTTTAAAGGACAGAACCCTCCTAATTCATCTCAGGCCTTTTAATCCCTTATTCTTCCACAACCTCCAACCCTTTCCCTAAAAACCTTCTAAAGATCTCTAAGGCTTGGCTTAAAACTTGAGGAGACCTGTCCATCCAAGCAGTAGGCCCCAGACCAGGCATCCCCAAAGATGGTCCTTGAGGGCCGCTGTCCTGCAGTTTTTAGAGGTTTCCCTGATTTAGCACAGCTGATTATGATGATTGCAATTAAGAAAAAGCCTGTTAATCAGCTTTCAATTAAAATCAGCTGTTGTGGAGCAAGGAAATCTCTAAAATCAGCAGGACAGTGGCCCTTGAGGACCCACTTTGGGGATGCCTGCCCCAGACTGTGGCAAGACCTTCCCATGTTTCTTCATGTGTCCGACTCTGTTTATGCCTTTAAAAGGTAGCTGAAGACATTTTTAATAAGAAAAGTGTTTACTTAAATATAAAAAAATTTCACGTTATAACCTGCTCTAGAAATGTTTCTATTTGGTGTTAATTTTGTTCTGTAGAGTTCTTTGTA